ACCCTAGGCTGGAAGCGCCCTCCTAAGGTCTGAGATGCAAGCACATACCCTCACTGGTGACCAACATCCAAATGGCCTACAGGGCACTGTGGCTTGGTCTAACACACAGGCTCCGGCCATCGGCCTCTGGTGACCTCACGGGCAAGGGGAAGCTGGCTGGTCCTCAGGGGAAGAGTGCCAACCGTACACTGCTCAAGGCTGTCTGGTGTTGAGACAGCCTCCTGGTCAGGCAGCCTGGGCCCAGCATGGGAATAAGGTCATCTGCCCCTTGGCAAGCAACCAGAAGAGAGTGATAGGGTGAGGAAGGGAAGGTGGATGAAGAAGTGAGATGGGGACAAAGACAACCAGGAAGACAGAAAGACAAACAGAGAGGGAAGGTGTATGAGAAGGTGAGACAGGGATGATAAAAAAAAAAAAAAAAAGGTGCTGCAGGGTCACAGAGGCACAGACAAACAGACAGACACGTGGCAGAGACAGAGGAGAGGAGACAGGGACAGACGGAAAAAAAAAAAGGAAGAGAGGCCAGTGCGGAAGCCATGCATGATAGCAGTGAGAGCAAGCAGCATGTGTGTTGAGGCCAGGAAGAATGATGAGACGGGGGTCAGAGGGGCAGCTGACAGAACACCATGGGCCAGGATGTGAGTGCTGACATCAGTGAGGACAAAGCGCCTCTGCCACCAACTTCCCCCCACATCGCAGAGGTCATGTGTCCAGCACAGACTTTTCCTGCTCATGTCCTGTTGCTGCAGGAAAATGCTTCAGGAGACCTAGCCTCCTCTTAGGGACACACCTGCTCAGTCGCAGGTCCCTCGCCACCACCAGGAGGGCCACAGCATCTGCCCTCTGGCCATGGCCAGCATCTAGAGGCTCTGTGCTTAGGATATGGCATGGCACCGTGGCACTCTCTTGGGAGATCACAGTGTGTGGCACCACAGCCTGTGATTTTCCACAGGTCCATTAGCCAATGGGTCGGCCTGGCGAGAGGTGCCAGAACATGGTCCTGACCCCACTCCCAAGAACAGCGTGAGGAGATCACCATCCCCAGTTTTCGCCTCACCCTAGGCAGAAGCCAGAGAAGCTTCTGGAATGGGAGCTGCCCTGTTAGCTAAGCAACAAGGTTAGACTACCATTCCAAACAGCCAGCTATGCTCCTCACCCATGGGCAGCTGAGGGCAGGGAAAGCCTCACTCTTTCTTAGCCAGGTGGGCTTAAAGCTGAGATGGGACACTAGTGGCCACCACTGATACCCAATGACTTTCAAGAGGACCTTATAACCTCTGCAGGTTTGTTTGTTTGTTTTAATGTGACCACTGAACAAGCACTCTGACACAGGGCAGTTGGGGGACAGGCAGGGAAGAGCTGGCTAACCAAGGTCCAGGCAGTCTGGATGCCTCAGGGCAGGTGGAGGAGACACTGACACATCACATACGATAGATACCTCCAAGACACCTGTCCAGATTGCCCTGCAGGTAATACTTGACGCCCTGTCCTTAGCCACCTCAGTCTGCTTAGGGACATTCCAGAAAAGGTCCTTAAGGGTGCCCGAGGCTCCCTTCCCCTCCCACCACCCTGCTCCCTAGGACTGAGGTTCTTGAGGTCACTCACTGACAGCAGGTTCTGAAGAACCAGAGAGACTCTGACTGGACATGCTAGCCACCAGAGAGGGTAAACCTGGGAATTCACATCTCCACCGATACCCATCCTGATGTGTTCAGAGGGAGACTGGGTGCTAAATGCCCAGGTGTCCCTAGGGTCACCTCCCTGCCTCCCCTCCTCACTTGGTTCTATCCCACCAAGGCAGAATGGAGAGAGTAGGGGAGGCCCCCAGTCTCTGAGCTATAGAAGGAGGCAGCCAGCTCAGGATGCAAGGCTTGGGGAGAACAACCTGGGAAGTCCCACCTGGTATCTACCTTGGTATCTCTAGGGGGTCTGAGAGTTGGGATATTTTGCTGGAATTCCCCGTCTTTGTGAGCCATAGCACATGGACTCCCCTATAAAGTTAGTTCTCCAATCCCAGCATGCAAGCGCCCAAGACATGCCCCATGAACACGCACATCTATCCACTGAAAAGGCGCCTCTCAGGAGGCCTCTGAGTGGCACCTGCTGTGCCCAGGAGAAGCAGAATGGCCTTTGTGGCTTTCCTAACCAACAGTGTGGTCAGGAGCCACAGGAACCACAGCATCCACAAATGGGCCACCCTGGGGCAGGGAATGAGTAGAGGATGAGGAACAGCATGAGGAGGAGACCAAAGAGACAAACAGAGAGGTGGCACTAGCAGATCCTCAAGGCACATGTGGGAACAGGGATGAGAGGCAGCAGCAGCATGGGGACACAGCCACCCTGGGTGGGGCTCTGGCTCAAAGGACACCCTCGGATGGTAGCAGCTTCTCACCCTCGGCCCTGCTTCAAGGCACATCTTACCACAGTGCAGAGCCCAGAACACGGCCCCTCCAGTCCAGAGCCCGGCAGCAGAGCCTCCTGTGAGCCTCACCCTACAGCTTAGCAGGGATCACAGGCTGGCCCTACCACCGAATTCCCTTAGATCCCACAGCCAAGGGAGTGAGTCTGACCCTGTGGATGTCCCTTTAGCTAGCTAGGTCCCCGGCTCTCTAAGTAGAAAGGGAGTCACCAAAGACCTCTCCCTTAAGCTGCTTTATGTTCAAATGCATGCAAAAGTAGCAATGTGGCAACGAGCCACTGTCACTATGGCTACTACAGTTGTCACCTTCATCATCACCAAAATCACCACCATCGCTGTGGTAGCTTAAAGGACAAGTTCCCTAGATTCTCAAGCATCTGAATGCTTGGCTCTCAGGTGGTGGCACTGTTTTGGGAGGCTTATGGGGTAGGGCCCTGTTGGAGGAAGTATGTCAGCAGGCGTGAGCTTGGGAGGTTTAAAGCTACCTGCCACCCCTAGTTTGTTCTCTCTGCTTGAAGCTTGTGGTTCCAGATGTGACCCCTCAATTCCCTGCTCCTGTTGCCACCCCTGTCATTTGCCGCCATGCCTCCTTACCACGATGGACCCTGATCCCTCCAGAATGGGAAGCCCAAGTAAGCTCGTTCTGCTGTGAGGTGCCCTGGCAATGGTGTTTTATCACAGCAACCGAAAAGTGACTAAGACACTCACTGCTACCACCATCAACACCAACATTATTGTTAGTATTACCACCACCATTATCAATGTAGCATCACCACCGCCACCCCATCGTCACCAGCACCACCAGGGCAGGCAGCAGCATCCCCTCCACTTCTCTATAAGGCTGGCTAAGGAGATTTGGAGAAAGAGAGAGACGGTGTCTCTTTGTAGCCCTGGCTGTCCTGGAACTCGCTCTGTACACCAAACTGCCTCAAACTTAAGAGATCCACCTGCCTCTGCCTCCCCAGTGCTAGGATTAAAAGTGTGCACAACCATGCCCGGGTGATTTAAACAGGGCCCCACATCTGCATAGCCCCAGTGCCTTCCAACCTCACCACGCTTTCCCCTTGGTGTCTAACTGACCTTTTGTCTGTCAGTCAAGAAAATTCCTGAATGCCCCAGGAAAACTTCTAACATGCCCACTGCTCCGTGCCACAGTGCTGTGAGTCACACATCTGTCAGCAACATGGACAGGCCAGCCCGATGTTGGCACACAAAATGAGCTGGAAACCACAGGTACAGACCAAATCCCGCCATCCTTCAAGCTGGAGGTGAACAGAGACGCAGTCCTGGGTGTTTCACTGAGCTTGTACACACAGGTGTGTTTCCATCTCTGTGTGCACATGTAAATGGAGGCTAGAGGTCAACCCAGGTGTTGTTTCTTGGGAGCCATCATCTTGTATTTTGAGACTGGGTCTCTCTCTAGGGCCCACAGCTTCTTGATTAGGTGGGTTGGCTGGCCAGCAAGCCACAGGATCCTCCCGTTTCCACCTCTCTTCCACTGGGATTATAAGTGCGCACTACCGTGCCCTCAGCTTTTTGTGTGGGTTTTAGGGATTGAGCCTTGGCTCTCCTGCTTACACCGCGGGCACTGTACCAACCTGTCAGGCATTTTTACTGGGGTGTTTCATTTGTCTCAGCAGACTGGCCTCCAAACCTGCATTCTGCTTAAGTGACTGGAAAACAGCTGTTTTGTGGGACAGTAGTCTCTGTGCATGATGGTCTTAGCCCAGTATGCAATGGGGCCTGACGTTTGCCAATTTGGCAGAGGATGATGGACAGCATATAACCTCTCTCTCTCTCCACCTTCTAAATGCCACACTCCCAGAATCCTTGGCTGTTGGGTACGAAGGCCTGATGTATTGCCTTTATTCACTTAACGTCTTCCTGAAGGTAGGCAGTGATACCTAGGCTGCAGGCTATGCAGTAACAGCTGTGTACCAATAAAGTTTTATTTACACAGCAGATGGAAAAGAGAACTACAAGCTGCCAGCTGCTAGCCCTCTAGGCTCACTCTAGACACCAAGGCTCCATGAAATAAGCATGGTGACCACTGGCTATTTCTCCTCTCAAATCTCCATTAAAGAAGGAGCAGAGTTGCGAGTTTTCTGATACCACAGATAGTCCTAGACAGTCTTGTCTTTGACGTTCCCTACTTTAAAATCTTCTGTGCATGGGTGTTTTGTTTTTTTTTTTTTCCTGCATGTATGTCTCTCTATCATGTGTGTGCCTGATACCCATGGAGAACAGAGGAGGACATCAGATCCCCTGGGACTGAAGTTACAGATGGTTAGAGCCACCATGTAGGTACTGGGAATCAAACGTGGGTCCTCTGTAAGAGCAGCTGGTGCTCTAACTGCTGGGACATCTCTCCAGCCCTCAAATGTAGCCTTATAACCATAAGGACTATGGACTGGCCAGCCCTGGGCTACCAACAACACCCTCTTCAAGTCAGATGCCACAAAAGGAATGGTAATGGTGGAACTTTATGATAGCAATCACAAGAGACACTGACCACCCAGCAAGTGTCCCTTGAGTGTAGGGGCCCAGTCCCCGAAGCCAACCACCACAAACCACCTCTTACCTGACTCTTGCCACGGCGCCGGTAACTCCGCCTCACCAAGCTCTTGTAGTTTTCATTCTTCTTGGTCAGGTAGTAATAGAGGACACACTCCGCCACTGTCTGTGGGACAGAGAGAAGATGCTGAGAAGTGTACAGGGCAAGAGAATTCAGAGTAGGAGGCAAGAGCCAGAGGCTGGAGTTCAAATCCTAGTTCCTTCTCCGATAAGCCGGATAGCCCTTGCCAAGGTACCTAACCTCTCTGAATCCCAAATAACTTATGTGTGGCATGCTAACTTCTATGTGCCATGCAGAAACTAATCATGCTAATCAAGTGGTTACTCTAAATGAGAAACACACAGGACAAAGCCTGGCATGGAGAGTCACAGGCTATCAACATAGGTCCTGTCCTTGCAACTGTAGGTGACAGTGATGTCATCACAACAGCTCAGCTGCCATGAAGAACAAAGCCTCAGGTACTTCGAGCTATGCAAACCCCGCCTTTGCTACACATGACTCTGTGCTCCTTCCCTGACACCCAGGGTCCTGAACAACCTCTCCTAGGATTTAGACATCAAGGGCAAGAAGCTTCAGTGTATACCTGCTGTAGCAACTGTGCCTACAATGTTCATTCCTGTCATGCCAGGGACCATGAGGACTGTGGGGTGGGACAGACCCCAGCTGCCTATACATCAGCATACCCCTGAAGTGTGCATGAAGAGACACTGTAGCCCCAGAGTTCCCCAAAGCCAACCGTCACTCAAACCCATGACCCACCAGAGAAATCATGTGTCAGTCAGGCCAGGTAGGTGCTAACACTTTTTCTTGGCCTAGCAATGGGCATCTGCCCTGAGTCTGAATTAGATGTTGACCTCACTATCTCTCTGCCTGGCACTGGCCTTAGCAGGCACCATATGTTCTAGAAGCTCTGATCAGCCTCATCTAGGCCCTCTCTGAGTGCCTGGTCCCCTTAGACTCCCATCCTGCTCCCTCCCCCACAGCCTTGCTCAACCTCCAATTTCAGAGCCACCCTGGCTCTACAGAGCCCTCGCCTTAACCTAGGACTCTTGAGTCTCCCCCAACCAGTGGGATGCATCAGCAAACAGGTAGGCTATTTATAAGGCTGGTTCCCAGCACTGGTTCTTCAGGTACCAGATCCCAGAGGGTCCCATCTCTCCAGAACGTATCAGCCCACAGGATAGCTGTTAGGAATGATCATTATCTTTGAAAATGGCTGTCTGGATGCCATGTCCCACCTCCTACCAGCTGACAACATACCTGGGATGCGGGGCAGGGGGCCAACTGGATTAGACAGCCCACTACTGAGGAACTAAACACAAATCGTAGCCCTCCAGGGTGGGCCATGGTAGTTCAAGGTGCTGGGTGGGCCTACAGAATCAACTCCAGTACACAGCCAATGCTGCCACATGTCCGCCAAGGGGTGTCCGTGCACTTTTGGCTAGCCTAGTATGTGAGTAAAGGCCAGTTAACGGGCCCCTGAGGACAATGTGACTCCTTGCCAACAGGAGGCAGGGCCAGAACAGAGAGCTCCAGGGTCAGGCTTGTGGGTCAGGCAGGATTCGAGCATCAATTCTGCATGAAGGTTTGTTCAGAATGGTAGAGACATGTGAGGCATATACCGGAAGTGGTATCTAGAGTTGATAGAAAGCCCACAATACCCATGACAGGAACCCAGGAGGTTACTCCACACTCGGTCCTGGATTCAGGCCACACCTGGCCACAAGGCCTCAGTTGGAACGTGGCGAAACTCTCAGAACTGGCCCCCACCCCAGTGTGCTGGGCAAAAGGCTATGTGATGCCAGGCCTCACAGCTTTCCTGGGCAGCCTGGGCCTGAAGCCCGAGGCTCCTCCCTATCCTGGGTGGGGCCTGCCTGGCTTTGCCCCTGAGGAAGGAGGCGGAGGCAGGAAAAAAGATGGAGCTGGCCAGGGAGACAGAGGAGGGGCACACATTCCACCCAGCCCAGACACTGGTTCTGGACAGTAGATGGCAAGCTGGTTTAGTGGCCAGCACTGCCAGCCAGAGATGGGCACTCACCTTTCTCTCCAGGAATGAGGCAATCAGGCCAAAGTTCTTGGGGTGCTGCATGAACCTGGGGGAAGAGAAAGACAGGCGCTGAGGCCAGGCCGAGGGAGGACCCACAAAACAGCCAAGAGCTGAGAGTGCCCGGGTGCTTGCCACCCCAGCCTGGCTTGGCGGGCGCCGCCCCACTAGCAGATCTTCAGGGCGTGGGAAGGGCTGCGGGGCAGGGACCAGGGTCCAGGGCGTTCCTCTGAGTGACTCACTGGCTGTAATGCCTTTGAAAATACATTTGTTTGTCTTGCCGCAGGCTTCCAGGAAAAATGAGGACACGGCATTCAGCTTGCCATTGGGTCCCCCCCTCCAAGATCTGCTTTTGTTTCTCTCCCCCCAGCTGAGTCTGAGAAGTTGGGTCTGACCCGGCCCAGCCCAGCCTGGCCTACGCCAAGCCTGCCTGGACGAGGTTGGACAAGCCGGGTGATAAGGCCTCTGAGTGCTGGAGCAGAGCCTCGGATGCCCAGGAAAAGCCAAAAGTGGCTGGAGCTGCAGGGGGTGGCGGGAACTGGCGCCAAGCCACTAGCTTCCTGCGAAGCCTGAGCATTACTGGGAAAGCCAGCCAGCTGAAATGTCAGGGCCAGGCAGCCGTGGAGGCGGGGATAGGGTCATGGCCTGCTTACACCCCAAGGGTGTTGGGTGGCGTCACTGGGCCTGTCCCTCGTCTCCGACAACCTGCCACCACCCCAGTATCTCCCAGGCAGAAATGGCTAGCAGCAGTACTGGGCCAGTTCCCACCAGAACTCAGCCTGTGTTGGGCTGCCTCGCCTGGCCTCCAGGTGGCTGGGAAGTAGGCCAGAGGCCCCTCCCGCTCTCCCCGCCAGACACTGGGGAATCCGGAAGGGCCTCTCAGCTCTTCCCAAGGAAGCAGAGCTGGCGAGGCAGTAGAATGGTGGGCTAGCCTGCCAGGGCCCCGCCCACCCAGGTGGCAGGCAAGCCTAGGGCACCTACCACTCTTGTCCTGCCCCATCCCTTCTATAGGATTTCCCTGGGGCAGTGATGGGCCTCAGGACACCAGGAATCAAAGTTGAAACACTTCGGGGCACTTGTCCCTCTCCCACCACAGTTCGCTGGAGACAGGTACAACTTATAACCCAGCAACTCAGGGGGCAAATGGACAGCCAGCCTGGGCTTCAGTGAGTTTCAAACCAAACAGGGCAATTTAGTGACCTCATCTGAAAACTTAAAAAAAAAAAAAAGGAAAAGAAAAGAAAGAAAAATAATAAATACAAGGCTCAGAAGTAACCTGTCCTCAAGAGACAAGCACACACTACCAAAACCAAAACAAATAACCAGCCAACAAAAGATTCACATACATGAGCACACACTCATGTGTGCATACACACACATGTACCACCTGGACCTGTGCAAACCATATTTGGCGTCCCCAAGTTAGTGTCCCCTAAGAAACCTGAGATGAACATGGGGACTGGTCAGTCTTATGCAAATCACCACCCTTTCACATAAGGCACAGGATGTCCTGGGCTAAGTGTTGGGGCTCCTAGGAGCTCCTAGGGGCAGAAATGGCTGCCAGCAGTACCAGGCCAGTTCCCACAAGAGCCCAGACTATGTTGGGATGCCCTGCCATGGCCACAAGAAGAGTACAATATGGCTATGCCCATTTTACACAGGGGGAAACTGAGGCTGGCTTGGGCAGGACCATGCAGCTGGTGAGTGACAGAGCACTGCGATGCGCATGTTACTCTCAGGTCAGTCTCAAGGAAGCCGTCAGCATCTTGCCAAGTGAGCCCTCCAGAGAGGCGTGACCCTTCACGGACCCACATATGTGGCTGCGTCTTGCGCGGACAGAGGTTACGCCTGCAGAGGTCTGCTGCCTGGTCACCAGCTTTGTTAGCTATGGAGTTGATAGTAAATGACCAGGCCTAAAGAGCAACAAGACTCCCCAGGAAGGTTCAGCCATCCCAAAGTATTCATCTACTAAAATAGCAGGCCATCAGGGGATCTGGACACACAGGGCCTCAGCCACTCAGGACCACTGTCTTGAGTCAGACTGTAAACCACAGAGAGAATAGGAGTCCCAGACACAAGCCACAAAGAGATGAAGGACAAGAGTCCCTGACCCAAGCTGCCTGTGGGAATAGCTCCTGAGGGAATGGGCCCTGCTGATCTGTGCTGGGGACATGCAACTCATTCTAGCACCCCTCTGAGGAGTTTTCATGTTTCCATGGCCAGAGACTCAGAAGGCTGAAGGCTGTGCGGACACCAAGCCTTGGCTGTGATCCGGGTGGAGCCAGCCTGTTGTACAGCACCCTTCAAAGGGCAGGTATGGGCTGACCCTGGACAACCATTCCCCCAGCAGGCATCTGGAAAACTTCCGGGGCACACAAGGGCCTCTCTGGAGGGAAAAGAGGTCAGCCACTCTGCTCCAAGAAGACCTGCTGTGCAAACAACCCTCCCGCCAGCCCTGCTCCCAACAGGCTCTCCTGGGCGACATTCAGACCTTTGTCCCTGCTTCAGTTTCTACTCTTAGCCTCCCAGGGGTCTTGGCCCTCTCCGAGGAGGGGGTTCTGCTTCTAGGTGGAGTGTTTACAGGGCATTATTGTTCCAAATAACATACATGAGAATGCTATCATAACATACATTACCACCACCTCTTCTCGGGTCCCCAAAATGGGGGGCGGGGAGGGGGATTTCTGCCTAGACACCACTGCTCAGGTCCTTACCCCGGGTTAATAAGGTCTTCCTCCACCCAGGAGCTCCACTTTTTGAGACAGCATCTCACTGTATAGATCAGGCTGGCCTGGAACTCACAGAGATGGCCCTGCCTCTGTTGGTATTGAAGGTGCGCACCACCACACCCACCTGAGCTTCATCTCCTAACTACCACAGCCTGTTGCCGATCACTGAAGCCCTGGCTTCCCCTGCCACACCCTCTCCATTCCAGCTGGACAACTGTACCTGGCCTCCACAAGCAGTTCTGTGGCCCATTAGGCGTCTTTGCCTCTCTGCGAGAATGGGGGGAACTGCCTAGCTGAATGCTGTGAGGGATAGATACGCATCCATTCCCTAAGAGGAGACCAGGACCTAGACTCCCATGGAGATGTAGGCAGAAATAGAGGCCAAGGACCCCAGCGCACCACTAGAGCAGGCAGAGTTCTGGACAGATTGTCTCTGTGCCTAGGGTGTGAGGACAGGAGGTCCCAGGCAGCAGTGGAAGACACTCACTTCTCGCGGAAGGTGTCCCTCTCCTGCTCGCTCCACATGTTGGTGACCTGGCGGTCCTTGTACACCTTCATGGGGTCATCCATGAGCCCGTTCATGTTGATGAACTTGATCCTCTGCTGGTCCGCATCATACAACATGGGCGGGATCACGGCCAGCTGGCGCATCTGCTTCTCCAGGTTCTGCAGCAGAGTAGAGGGTGGGGACAGAGGACAAATTCAGGGCCTAGCAGGTAAGGGGATGGTGCTCTGGCCCTCGGACATTCCTGGGGAGGGGGGTGGTGATGATGAATTAAAAGCCAGCAGGGGCTGGCGTTGGCAAGGATTTAGAGGTGTAGAATGGTAAGGAAGGCAAGAGCTATAAATTCAGTGCAGAGCACGAGGCCTTATCTGCAGCAGGAGAGGCCATGAATCTCACCCCACAAAGGCAGTGTAATAAAACACAGTGAGGGCAGGGACAGGGCATGGCCCAGCCTGGCTCCACACACTCACGGGATGGTATGTGTCTGGCTCAGAGCCAGGAATCCAGGACACACCATGGGGCACACAGAGAGCCTGGCCACCTTCCTGCTCAGGCCTCACACCCAGGCCTTTCCATCATGCCCTGGAGACTCAGCCTGCCCTGCCCTTCTGTGGCTGCCTCACCCGTCTGTGTTTGGGAGATGCTGCTGACTTCTGAGTGTCTCCTGCCCTATACTCTCTGGTCTTGACCCAGACTATCTCCAGCCTTGCTCTGGCAATGGCTCGCCTAAGGGGTGGCAGCAGCAGCAGTATTCTTGTGTTGCTAGGACCTAGGGAAGGGTCCAATGTGTGGGCAGACACAGCCACCTTCTTCCAGAGGAAATGAAAGCCATGTCCGATTCCACATCAGTGGGACAGGGGTTGAACCCAGCCTCATGCCCACCAGTGAGGAAGGCCCCATGGCTGAAGCTTGTGGCTTTTCGAGTTCTGCTTTCTGTCCACAAGAGGAGGGGAGGTTTTCTAACAGAACTATGGCAAGAGGATGTCCCTTCAAGGCCAGGCATCTAGGGGTGTTGCACTGCAGTGGGGTGCAGGCCCGAGCAGTCAGGCTAATGGGTACATGGGGCTGTCAGCGTGTGCAAGGAGACATCCCTGGTATCTGTGTACCTGGTGCTGGATGGACCAGCACTCAGTTTAGACAACAGCTCAAATGGTCACTGCACAGCCACAAAAGTATCACTGTCTGCTCTATCCAGCACCCTGTCTTAGTTTCCTGGTAAAAAACCTCAAGGGGCTCAAAAAGGACAGGGGTGCTATGGCCACCGCTACCTGAGAGCAGAGCCATCAGGGAAAAAGCAAGGGTTCTGGTAAATGGTATTTTGGGTCCACTGTGGTGCTGGCCATGGGGACAAATGTCATACTGTACACCTGGCCCACAGGCCAAAAGTGGACAGGCCCCAAATGGCCCCTTGCTAGGGACAAGCACCTGCTCTATATCATGGCTTTCTCTGTGACAGTGACAATAATTGCAATCACCCATACTGGCAGTGGGTGGCCAGGAAGGCACAAAGGGGCAGCAGGCTGGAAGGCAGGCTCTGCAGGGTGGTCCCCAGCTGGTCTACCTGCTCTCACTGACAGGCCCTCCTACCAGTTCTGCCAAGCTCAGCCAACAGAGAGCCTGAACCATGGCAGTCGGAGCTTCTTGATGCCTCTTCTGGGCACCAAAGGCTTAGATAAGTGAACTTCCTCACCAATGTCCTGCCACAGCACCCTCCACTTGGCTGGCATCCCCGTCAACTCTGCCCTTTGGGGGAGAGGCATGACTAGGCATGGCCACTGGTTGCTAGTGTGCCCATAGCATCCCACGTTGCTTTTGACAAATGCCTGTCACTAGTCTCTGGATTGAAAGCATCAGGTGGTTTCTTCTCCTGCACTGGCTGTGGCACAGGACACATGTAAGGGACACAAAGAAGGACATATAGAGGCAATGGGTGCCTATGGTGTCACCGTGGACTCACCTCCTGCTCTGACAAGCCATCGATGATCTCAGAAACCTCATGTTCACTGCGGGCAGCCGACATGGAGAGCCCGCTGCCGCGCTGGCCCACCCTGCTGGAGACCAGAGGGGCACAGTCAGGACCAGCAGGACCTAGTCCTACTGAGAGACTAGGCTGGAGCCATGAGACAGAGCACTCTAGAGGTTAAGTGTGGGTGAATGGAAAGGGGGAGATCAGGGCTGGGCCTCTAACCCTCACATTTGACCACAGGCTTGGAATCCAAGGATGAGGAATGCCAGCCCATGAGACTACAGGGTGACAGCCCATCTCTCTTGAACAAAGGGTGGAGACCCAGCAGGAGCTCAATGCTGTCTCCAGCCTAAGGGCCAGGAGCAGGTCTCTGGGCCTCAGGTCAGCTCCTGAAACCCATGTTGCTGTGTCGGTCCGTGAGACAAGGTCTTATGAGCCTGGGAATGCAAGTGACCACACCTAACTAGCCTTATTTGTTGAGAACGTCTGCCCAGGTTTCTACCTTCATGGCCACAACAAGAACAGGTACCCACCTAGGAGCTGGGCACAGCCAACCCCCCAACAACCCTCCCAATCCCTGCCAGACTCTCATTCAGCAGCTTCAAGCGGTAGGGAGTAGGAGGAGCCAGGACAGCAGGGCGACACTCCTAAGTGATGGCTCTGGGCCCAGCAAGTGCTAAGGGTCCCTAGCTGTAAGTATGAAGATCTGTGATGGCACTGTGTATGGCACAGACCATCAAGGGCCTACATGGACCAGTGCGGCATTCACCTCGAAATGCACTTGCCCCTGGGTGTGATCCCTTACATGGGCTCACCTCTGCTTGCACTCACCCCCACATGTGTCCCTCACCCCTGTGTGCGGCCCTCTGCGGGGCCCTTACCTCTGCATGCGCTCCTGCAGCTCCCGCTGCTTGCGGATCTCCGGGAACTGCTTCTCGTAGTACTCCCTCACCTTGCTCTCCTTGGCCCTCCTCCTCGGATTGTTCTCAATGCGCTCTACCTTCTTCTCCCACGCCTCCATGAGCTGGTCATAGCGCTGACAGAAGCGCTGTTCCTGTGGTGGTGGTGGTGGTGGTGGTGGTGGTGAGAAACACGGCCAGAAGGCATCATGCTGGTGAGCACCAGAAACTGCCCACCATCACGTGGACAGATGGGGGATGGACAGGTGTACCCACCCACTGTCATAGTCACAGAGAAGCCACTGGTCCCTGGGAAGCCACTGGTCCCTGGGAAGCCACAGGTGCCCCATGGGAGATGACCATTCCTTCTCTAGAGCCAAACCTCCACTGCCGGGGCCTCATCTGGCCCAGAAGCCACTAACTGTGCCAAGTTTTCTCTCAGTCAAGCACCAAATGAGAAACAGTCCTGGAGCAAGAGGCTGCAGCTCATGCCCTGTGCTCACACCGGCCACCGCAGACACTGCACAGCAAATCAAGCCAGGTCCCCACCGCTGCAGGAAGCTGTCCTAGCAGCATGGCTCTGCAGAGCTCTTGTGGCCCAGGAAAGATATCCCTAGGGAACATCCACTTTCTAGGCAGTTCCTCGGCCCTGGTCTTCAGCACAGCCACACGCCCCAAAAGCTAAAAGTCCAAAAACCTAGCAGACACTGGGTTCTGCCCTCCTCTGAAGAATGAGGAAGTCTCCCTCCACAACGAACCACCAAACTGCCTACTGTGTATCTCCCAACCAACCAGAGCACGGCTACGTTTCCTATATCTACACCCAAGGAGACCATTTTAAAAATCCCTCCTCTAACAGCCACAGAAAGACAAGAGATGTGGATACATAGCACCTTGGGAGTGTTCTTATGCCCTGATACCTGCCACAGTGTGTTTAACCTCTGACCTACAGCTCCCCTTGTCTTTGGCTCAACAAGTGGTGAACAATAGTGAACAATAGCTCAAGCGTGCCAGACCACAGCTGAGGACAGGGGCGGACACCACCAGTCCAGCCTAGGCCTCTTTGGGCCTACCCAGAGGCCCAAATGAAAGGGAGAGAACCCTCTATTAAGGCCAGAGAATGGCGACAGCAGAGGACCGGAGCTGATGTCAGTCAGTTGCCGTTCTGTACCTTGCAGACAAGCAACAGGGTCCCAAGACCTCGGGAACATCCCACACGCTCCACAGCCCCAGGCACTGACACAAAGGCCCACGTAGCTCCCCGAGGGGAGGTTCTGTCTGAGACAGGACAATCTCTGTCTAGGTCAAAGCAGTGTGGTCCGCTGCAGTCTGTCAGCATGTACGGGGCAGCATGTGTGCTTGGTCCACGGAGGACTTGGGATCCGCTGACTGCTGTCTAGGCACAGTAGAACACTGTTCCCGTGGAGGGGGCTCGGCCAGGGGAGGAGGCAGACCTGTCTGTCTGTCAGCCTCTGCTGGGAAGGAAAGTGGCTGACTAGTGTCTAGCACGCTTGGCCCTACAGGAAGCAATGAGGCAGGCTCCTCTCTGGGTAGTACCCAGAGTTCCCAGGGGATGGGGTCTGACTCATGACAGAAGAGAATAGCAGAGCTGAGTGGGTACAGCCCAGCATCTCTGGGCCTTGCTGGAAAATGAGAAAACGAAAGTGGGACTCTGAGTTCTTCACGCCTCTTCCTCCTGTAGCATGGAGGCCTTCCTTTCTTCCCTCCCTAAGGTGGCTGGAGGCTTTCCCCTCAGATCTAAAATACAGCTCCTCCACTCCCGGCTCCCCAGAATCATGGAAAGTTTCTTTAGGACTCCAAGTCCACCTTAAATCCTCCTCTGCTCCACTGGCTTCTTCCGGGAGCTGCAGGGACCTCAGACATGGGTCATCAGATAAAACCAAGGCTGGAAGCTCAGGGCAGGCAACGGTGGCATTTGGGGATGGCACGGTTGCAGGATACTGAGTGGACCTCCACGCCTGCCTTCTCCTCACCCAGCAGCAGCAGGGGCCTGCGTTCCTGTGGTCTGTACATGGTGATCCTGGAGCTGGCCAGCCTGGTCTTAGGGCACAGGTGTTCTCCTGGCACTGTTACCTTACCCTATGGCCCAGTGCACACAGCACATTCCACACCGAGAGCATATTTATCACGAATGCACTTGGGGCCCCTGTGCCAAGGACGGACCTCAACAGTCCTCTGCCGAATGCCTTGGGCTGGCACCTGCCCCAGGTCCTTTGCACCCTCCATGCCCTCGCTCCGCAACGGTCCGCATGAGCCTAGCTCTCCCTTTTTCACTCCATGTATCTCGACATGGCCACTCCTCCTCCACTGCCCAGGACACCTTGCCCTCCTGAGTTCATCTGGAACCTCGTTCTCTGCCCTCGAACTCAGAGCAAGAGGGTCTGAACACAGACTCAGGAACCAGACAACCCTGGTGCCAAGCCAAATGTTACTACTTCTCAGCTGTGTGACATGAGGAAAATGAGATAACATCTGTGCCTCAGCTTCCCTGCCCTAAATATGGGGCTGTGAAGACAACCCGATTCAAGCATCAGTCTACTTCAGTGCAAGCAGCACTTAGTTGCCACATTCTGTTTACTACATACCCACAGGCTCTAAGCACCACTGAGTAGCCCTGCAAGTACCAGGCTGGCCTGACTCTGAGGAAGGAGAAAGGAACCACCTTGCAGCCCCACCTGACTCAGCCCAGGAAGGGTCTGGTGCAGGTGAGCGGAGCCTGTCAAGCTAGCTTCCACCCTCTCTGCCTTCTCTGACTATTCTCCTAGCCTCCCCAGCCTCCCCCCTACACACACTGTCTCCCAGCAGCCCTGGGCTTAAGTAGAATGGATGATGTCACCTCCAGACAAAGCCTGGCCCTGGTTCAGAGTTGAAATGGCCTAACCAGAGCCTGCATGCAAGCCAGGAAGGGTAACCTCCTCTGGACTCAGGACCACAGCGTCAACAGCATGCGGACATCCTGACCCAGGCATGGAGGGAAGCCTGACTGAACCGGTGATACAGTTCTGGCACTATGTAAGCAGGGGTGGTGATAAGGTGTGACTCCTACCCTGGCAGCTAAGGCAAGATAACTGGCCTTCATCCTTTAGCCCTGGTCTCCTGTGGGTCAAAGTGCAGCTGCTCCGAGTCCCTCACATCCATCCTACTTCAGGAAGCAGGGTCACTAGCCACCACCGAAGACCAGGGGCCTTGTTGCTTTCTAATGGCTGGACCTGGCTGGGGGAAGGGAAGGCTCATTTCTCAGGGTATTCTCAGCTTCCATTTCTCTCTAAAACATTTCTGGGCACAAAAGTTCATGATGGGCTTCAATGGCTCCACCTCTTCTGAGGACTGAGAAAGGGGCTCAGGAGCCTAACCCTAATCCCAACTACGACAGCAGCTGTCACCTTTATGGCTCTTCTACAGCATTCTCATGACCCAGACACCCATCCCCAACAGCTGCAGAGCCGCGGGAACCTGGCTACCGTGATCTGAAGAGGCCCTGACTCTAGGATGACCATGGGGGCACTACACCAATGAAGAAGGGACAGGAATGGGGACTGGAGAAAGGCAGAATGAAGTGGGACCCGCCCACTGCTTGTCCATGTGTTGAGGGGACAGAACAGGACTCAGCCACTGCTTTCAGAAGACACAGAGGGGTCAGGATGGGACGGGACTCACCCACTGCTTGCGTGCGTGGTTCCTCCGCTTGAAGTACAGGATCAGCTTCTTCCGCATCGCCTGGTTTCTGGGGGCACAGAGAGTGGTCAGGGATGGCCAGTTCTCAGCAAGCGCTCAAGCTGATCAGCACTGGTCCTCCGTCAGAAGCCTACTTCCCCCTACTTTCCCCACAGCTCACTGTGTCCCACCAAGCTCCCAATACCACCCACCAACCCTAGGGCTCCCACACTTGCCAACCTGGACCATCCTCATCCTGCTGAGTCACACCAACAAAGGTTCAACCCCTTGCTGCCCAAAGGCAAATAAGTCATATGGCCTGGGTGTCCCCACTGGTCCCCAGAGGGGATCCTGTCCTATGAGCTGCTGAAGGCATTGAGGGATCGCCAGCTACAGATAGACAGTCAGGATCCACTCAGCATGGAGCAAGCAGCTTAACCTCATAGGCCCCACAAGGCTCTACAAGTACTACTGAGGAAAGGGGTGGGAAATTCTGAAAGGATGAGAGAAAAAGAAGGGTGGAGACATGGGGAGAGAAACAGGGTCAGAAGAGAGAAACTGGGAGAAGGAAAAGAGGGAGAGAGAGAACAGAGATTTACCTCAGAATGGACAAAGATTTGGAAAGTGGAGATGGAGGGTAGGAAAAAAGACATAGGCAGGCAGGAGAAAGTTCAGACTGCAAAGAGGGAACAAAAATCCTGAGGCACAGCAGAGTCGGGACACAGGACCCCATCCACCCCACCCCACACCCAAGCAACAGAGACCCAACACCTCCCTCCTCCCCACAATCCTAATACAGAGCAGGTACTGCAACTGACCTCTGGGTCTCGTGGGAGACACAGACAGGCCTTGGGGACTGGAACAGCCTGAACTTGCCCTCTCCAACCTGGGCTCACAGCTACATCACTTTTTGGGTGAGAGAGCCCCACCTTCCCCATACTGCCAGCATGTCCCCAACCCACCAAGAGCACCTACTGCCGGGAGTTGCTGAGGAGTGAGAGCCTGGAGGTCCCTTGCCTATGACCCCAGATGTGGCTTGGTGGGTAGAGTGCTGGTCTAGCAAGCGCAAAGCCCTGGCTTCAATCCCCAGCACCACATAAAAATGAGAGTGGAGGTCCAGTCCACCCTTGTAATGTCAGCATTTGGGAGGCGGGGGCAAAAGGATCAGTTATTCTGTAGTATATAGGAAGTCTGAGGAGGTTCTGAGCTGAGGAAGAGCAGAGAGGGTGAAAAGAATGAGAGAGAGACAGAGAGAACACAGCCACCTCTTCCTAGAGGAATGGGGAGCTACCATCAATCCTGAAGTACTGCTGTACAAAAAAACAGGATCTTCAGTAGAGAGATGAGGTGAGCCCTTCCAAGACATCAGCTAGCCTGCTGGCAATTACGAACATGGATTCGAGCAAAGAGAGTTAGGGGAGCTGGGGTCCAGGGCTTGGCAGGGTGAGATGAGGTTCAGGGATTGTCCCAGATATGCCAGGGGACAATAAGATGGAGGCCCACACATGCCTGGTCAAACAGGGTGTTAGAAAGCCCATGCCTACTGGTGGGGATAGTAACATGACTGCCTGAAGCCACCAGCCCAGAGCTGTGTGGACTTAATCTCTCTAGGCTTGGCTGGAGAAATTATTTGGTGCCACTGAACCTCCAGAGACATGTTCTCAGTAACCTGGGTCCTGATCAACTGCTTCCTGCCCATCCTGCAAATGAGATGGCAAGCCTAGGATACCAAGAAAAGAGGAGCCTCCTTCTAGGCCTAAGAGACCCAAGAACCAATGCTGGTTGTTGTCAGAGACCAAGTAGGTAAGGCAGAGCAAGTAGGTAGGTAGGTAGAGCCAGGCTGACTGGCTATCCCATCTTGCTACGCTCTGGATGGCTCTGTGCCATCCAGCCACAGAGGCTCCTGCAGGGTCCGGCGGCTCCCACACTGTCCTCCTCCAGCTTGCCCTTGGGGCTGCCTTCCCCGTGCAGGGAGGCTAAGAGGTCTTAGCCCCTGAGACCAGCCTCCCAGTGCAAGTGGCATGTGCCCTGGCAGAACCTTGGCAGCTACTGACACTTTCCAGGGCAAGGCACGGGAGACAAGCAGCACACAGGTGACCTCCACAGGTCTGAAACTACCCACACCAGGAAGCCAAGCATGAAATTAACTTGAAAGTCATGGCTGGGCACGCAGGCAGAGAGATTAAAATGACAGGGGCCAGGTCCCCAGGGAAGGGACACTTCCTATCTCTCAGCAATTACAGCAGACAGTCAAGAAGCGGTGACGGTTCTGCTCCCTGGGTGGCGGAGCTCCCTTCCAACCCCGGGGATCAATCTCACCGTCCTTGTCACGGCTGTCATAGTCCATGTGAGTACTGAACTTGCCATCTCCCCTCCTCAAGTGGGGACTCATTTACTGCTGTCTCCCAGGGACAGACAATGCCTGGTGCAGGCCAGACACACGGAGAGACATGTTTGGCGAACGAAGGGCTAAATGAATGAGCAATCTCTATGGATAGGGACTCAGAACAACAACACCATCCAGCACCCCTCCCACAGGGAGGGCATAAATGTCAACTTGATGGAGTGTTAACACAATGGGCCCTTGGTGGCCCCAGGGCTGGTCCCTGCGTGAGACAGAGGTCCTGCTCTATAGCACGCACACAGTAGAAATCGTGGCTTTCTAAGCAGCAACTGATGGTTAAGACAGCAGCGTGTGGCGCTTCTGGCTTCTTGCACACCTCCCAGTGATGGGCTGCTCTACCACCATCAGCAGCTCTGACGAGAGTGTCTGTTTTACATAGGGTTTGTCTGTCGGGTTCTTGCTAGGCAGCCCAGGCTAGCCTCAAACTGAGTGCTAGGATTAGAGGCACATGCCCAACCCAAGACAACTTAGTCTGCTTCATTGGGATTGAGTTTCTGCAGCCACTTGACTCCAAAGGTCCTGGCTCCAGCTTCAGGGAATTCTTGTTTCTCCTAGTAACCCCCAAACCCTAGGAGGCTAAACATTCTGGATCTTTCTTACCCAATTAGGCAGGAGCCCCGAAGGGTCCCAGGCCTCCACAAGGAGCTCATCTGCCCCAGGCCTGGGAGCTCATGGCACTTCACCTAGGTCTTATGGCCACTATCTTCCAAGGAGCTTCACAGAAGCCCGAGTCTCATCATGTCACAGGGCTGCATTCCTAGAGCCCCTCTGTGAATAGTCTCAGTCCAGAGGAAGCCACCCACACCTTCAGAGCTTGGACTCTGCACCCAGCACTGCCCAATGCACCCATTGCAGGACTGTGAACTACTGGGACAGCCCAGCCCCCTTCCATGAGACATATCCAGAACATGGAAGGCCACAGGGAAGACGACTAGTGGGGTCCTTGACCAGGGAGAAATAAAAAGACACAGAATTCTCTGATGCTGTGCTATAGGAGCTTATGCTGACCGGCTCCCACCTCAGTCACCAAGTAAAAGCCTCTCCAGTCAGAATTTAAAGGGTGAACTGCATGCAAACTGTATCTAAAAAAATGTTGAAAATAAAAAATAAAAATAAAAAATATAAAAAGCAAAACAAATGTCAGAACCCCTGCAACCCAGCCCCAGGCCTTACTGTCCCTCAGACTCAACCACAGGCCACTCCTAGGCAGCAGGAATGGGGTCAAGAGCTGCCGAGGGAGCCAATGGCCACAGCTGACGTCTCTGGTTCCTCAGTGAGCAATGGCACTATCTCACCAGTCAAGAGGCACCTTTGTGTTATCACATACTGCCCAACCCTGGACCCCAGGCCCTAACCCTTCATACCTCACAGCCCCTAGCTCTGCAGGCCTTCCCCACAGTGTCCCAGGCCCTTTCTCCCAGTGGCCACCAGAGTGAACCTGAAGATAAACTCCCAGCACAGCACGTCCCACAATAGAGGCCACATCTTTGCAGATGGTGACCAAGCCGGAAGGACGAGAAGCACCCTCCTGGGCCTGACTGATCCTGCCTGTGGCTGAGGCAGCGTGCAATCCCAACCAGCTCAGCTCAGCCCCAGGGCCTCTGCAGTGCTGGTCCCATCTGTCTGGGATGTTTCACGCGGCCCAACAGCTGCTCAGGCTTCAAGCAGCACATCCTGCCCCGGTCTCTGGCCAGAGTTTCTTTCCCCCTTCTCTCCTAGCAGCCCACTTACTCTCTTCTCAGAACTTCTTCACAGTGAAAGACTGTATGGGTTTAGCTGTACAATACTGAAATGGGCAACAGTGGCCATGAGGTTAATGGTGCCTACGGCAAGCCCCAGTGCTCCAAGCATGAGGCAGATCTTGACGCACTCACAAATGGATTTGCTAAACAGAAAACCGACTGTTTATGTAAGAAAGGTCACTCCCTCAGAGCCATATTTATGACTTAATAGCTAGAATCGTGTGGCTGGATGGCTACAACTGACATAAGCTCAAGATGAGAGCTCCCACTCTTCTTTCTTCTGTCTTTACTAATTTATTTTTAAAGCTATCGGGGGTCTTGCCTTTCATCCATTCATTCAGTTACACGGCTACTGGGGTCTTACTTTGTAGCCCTGGCTATGCCTTTACTCAGCAGTCTCCTGCTTCAGCCTCAAGAGCACTGGGTTCACAGACCTATGTGACCATGTCCAGTTAGATCCAGTCTGTCAGATTTTCGCCTCTAACAGAGGCAAAGGGCATCAAAGAAACCCATTCCGATTCCATCCTTGGTCAGAGCAGGTGACACTGCTTAGCTATGGTTAATATCACCTGCACTATTCAGGACACACACCTCTTCGGCTTATAGAAACATGGCTGTTTCTATAACCTGAAACATCCCATGATTCTCCCTATGAACACCGCTTATTTTAAGCAAAAAAAGCTATACAAAAATCACTGGCCTGTTATATGGGTCATCAGCTACATCAGACTGGGTATGGCAGCACATCCTGAAATCCCAGAACTCAGGAGGGTCCAAGTTCCACCCAATGAGACCTTGTTCCAACATCATAAGAAACCCACTCTATAAGGAGTGCCGGGACATGAAGGCCAGAGCTGAACAAGCCTCAGCCTAGCAGAGATTGGCTTGGTTATTGAACCCCTTACTTTCCTCTGTTGCTTGTCAAAACCCAAGAGGGGAATAGGATAGACCTTTGTACTGTCCTGACTCCATAGGGTGAGGATAGGACCTCTCAACATCAGCAAGAGAATGACTGAGTGACTGAACGAAAGAAGAGTGAGTGAGTGACTGAGTGACTGAGTGACTCAGTCAGTGATTAAGTAATGTCCCAGTAGCTTGGCTTGGTGGCACATGGCCTCCCTGGACCCCAGAGGAACTGTGACAAGCCCCTATAATATCCTGTCATCATCCCTCTCCCCATGGAGATCAGGGCCAGCTGGGCAGACCCCTACACAGAGAGAAGCAGAGGGACTTGGGCCCTGGACAGTGATAGGACCATAGCCAACAGAGACAGCCACGGCAGCAGCTGAACCCAATACTGCATGCCAGTGCAGGGCCTTCAGGGTTAGCAAGGAAAGATAATCTGGGAGGCACAAGGTAGCTGGGGTGTGACCATACACAACTACAAAAGAGACAGAGTGGCCTCCTAGAGCCCAGCATCAATGACACTTGAGAATCAAGAGGGACACTAGCTTTCACGACACTGACCAGATTGCTGCATCACCAACTATTGTACCCACCAAGCCACACTCTGATGCCATGTGGACTCCCAGTGGCAAACTTAACCATTCAGAGTTGGATCCCTAAGACCCTCCCCTTTTAGCCCTCCCCACAACTAACATACCACCATGTACCCCAGGCCCTTCCACCTTTTGGCTTCTGGATGATGAGATGTGTCTCCCCCACAGGCCATTGATAGGAGCTTCTCCCACTAAGACATCCCAGGAGGCTGGCCGCCACTGGCAGTTCCACCTGCCCCACCCCCAGCATGAGGACACTAGCCACCAGACACCAGTACAGCCTGGCATCCCTGATGCTCCCCACTGTATGGCAACTAAGGGACATCATCGCCTCCCAACCTCCATCTGGGGGAAAGGCCCATCACTGGGACACGGCCCGTAGAGCCTCCAGATCAGTGCCTCCAGCCTCCTCAGACACTGAGTGTGCACCATAGCAGTCCACAGCTAACTGTACTGGGGCTGGCTCTCCTCTGCACAACCTGTCTCCTGGCACCATGGCCTCCTACCTCCAGTCTCTGTTCCCAAGCTGCAAGGTGCCACTCCCTCTGCCCCAGGCCTGCGCGGAGCCCATGTCGGGCTTGACTCCGCTGGGGCCTTCCACCTAGACTGCCCACTGAGAATCCCCAGGACTGAGCTGCTACCCTGTAGCAGGTGACTCACATTTTGATGTTTTCATGGTACTGGCGTGTGTCAGACGGCTGGTTGTACAGAGGCTGCAGAGGAAGAAGGAAGCATGTCAGAGATGGATGGGGCAGGTGACAGGGTGGCACGGGTTAGTGTCAGCAGCCAGAACCCAGACCTTGGACCCGCAGACCCAGAGCCTGCAGCCCTAACACTGGCCAAAAAAAAAAAAAATCAGACACTGGGAGTGTGATCAAGGACACAGGAATGAGGAGGACCCGGCCAGGAAGAAGTTATAACTATGCTATAGGGCCTGGTTGCAGGGACCAGGCCTGGCACCCTCCCCAGGCCAAGTAGTTTATCTGCAAGATGCTTAGGGTTGGTTTCGCATCCAAATCACCATGGAAACCCACAGACCTAGTGCCAGCCAGGCCTCTTCCTCCGGACCACAGAGACTGAAACAAACCTCGAGTGAGAAACTGAGGGCAGCAGGTGGCAGGCACAGACACACAGCCTCTAAAGAGCCCAGCTAAAACTGCCAAGAATTGACCTTTCTCCCCACTGGCCTGTAGCAGGCCACCACGGCCTCTTCTCTGGATAGAGGAAGGTGGCCTGGAATGCCAGATCCCATGAATCCTGGGTCATGTACACAAGTGTGCACAGAGTGTCCATAGTGACAGCAGATAATAAATTGGAGAAATGTGGGCCTTGGGCTGCAGACACCATAGGCTCCCTCAGCAGGGAACCCACAAGCCTGGGCCACATTCATGAGAGAACAGAGATTCAGAGTACAGCAAGGGCAACGGGCAGTCATGGGACCAGCCATGAGTAAAGAGACTGAGCTGGGGTCGAGTCCTCCATGCAATGGCTTCCTCTGTCTAAAATATGGACCTTATACAGCCTGCTGGAGGGACACAGGGAGGCCACAGGTGAAGCAGAAACCTACCCACTATCTCCCAGAGGTCCCTGCCACCTTCCAGATGGTAGAGGCAAGGGCGCAGGTGTCATGCTGCTCTGAGCCAGCTGCTTTGCTACAAAGTGGTTGCTCACGGTGCAGTCGCTACCCCACCGCACACACGGGAAGCCTGAGGTCGGGGGCAAAACATGCCCACAGCCTGACTGACACCCCATGAGTGCTCTGCACTCCCCTGGCGCCATCCCACGCCTGCCTCCTCTGTGCTCTTTGCATCCTGTGCACCCATGCCTGCAAGAACCTTGTGACCCTGGGTCTCTGGGCAGGCAGAGACACACAAAGCTCCAAGGGGAAAACTGCAGGCGGCAGACTCCGCTCTAGACCAGTGTGATAACCACGCCAGCCCCCTTCCCTTCTACTGCTCAGAGACAAAGCAGGCCACGTGCAGCCAGGCCAGCATCAGAGACACCAGTTCTTGCGCTTTATGGCAACTCACCAGGGGCTCAGACAGCCAGGCTCAACTGCTCTCCTGGTGATGAGAGACCATGGACCAGGACCTCCTATGGACACAGAGCCTGAAACAGGGAAGTATCCCTAGACTAGGAGGGGAAGAATGAATAGGGCAACAAGAGAACCAGCAGCCAGCCTCAAATGTGGTATGCCTAGCGGGGAGGAGGGGTCCAACGTTCCTGAAGAAGATTGAAAGGCCATGTCTCAGGAGTGCAGGAGCACTATGAAGATGCCCTTTCCTGGTACCCAGGGCAGCTGCACTTGACCCTTTGTGTTTTCCCAGATGCCACTAAAACAAATGCCAATGCGAATGGACATTGCTTAAGGGCTGGGCTCCAGGGCCAGATAAACCTAGATTTCCTCATCTAAAAAATAGGTGTGGCGTAGAGGATCCACCTCACAGGATGAACAAATAGCCCAGAACATTCCAGATGTACTGACAGTTTGCCGTTGTTTGGTTTTAAAGGTGGTGAACAGGACTATTGGGGCAGGAAGGGGTGGAGGCTCTGATCCTCTGACCCCAGCATGGGGCAGTGAGCAAAACATGCTCTCACGCCCACCAGGGTAGCAGGGGACAGACCCCAACCCGACTTCTGAGCAATGAGGAGGAAGCTGTGGCCTCAGGCAATGAGGGGCTCTGCTGCCCCAGTGAGCACCTTCTGGGAAGCCGCCAGAGGAGCCCCTGGGTTCAGCACCAGGGCGACATCCTGAGGCCATCTTCACAGGGACAGAGGCTGGACCTGAAGAGGGACAAGAACGTCTGGTGGCTTGCATCCTGCTGCAATGAGGGCAGGGCTGCCCTCTCCATTAAAAGACAAGCGGTTGGAGCTGCATACCAGAGCCCTGGACAGCCGTGGGTGTTGGCGTCCTTCAGCCTGGCCGTAAGCCAGCGTTTGGGGTGACCAAGCTTGTAAGAGATAGCGACAGCCCAGCCCATGGGGACACTGAACTCTTAGAATAACACCTCAGAGCAGGAAGGAAGCAAGTGACTCAGAGCTGGGCAGCATCCCACCGCCTCCCACCTGGCCAGCCTGATCCCTGCCCAGGACAGGGCCCTCCTGAGACACACTGGGCCATGGAGGTCACAATGCGTACATAGGTCTCCAGACTGCACCCTGGCTCCAAAGGCCTGAAGCTCCTACCTCCCTCATGCCTCCCTTGGGTACATAGGGCAAGATGTTCACTCCCTTGTCATTACTGAAGAAAGAAGAACCCTGACTATCCTAGTTAACTTACCATCAGCCTGACAACACCTAGCGTCATCTGAGAGAAAAGCCTAAACTAAGGCTCCCTATATAAAACTGTCCAATGGGCATGTCTTAGCGAGTAGGGGGTTGTTTTAACTGTTAATAGATGCAAAAAGGCCCAGCCCACTGTGGGCAGCACCATTCCCTAGGCAAATGGCTCTGGGTTATATGCAGAAGCTAGCTAAGTATGAACTTAAGAGAAAACAAAAAAGAAGTTCTCCATGGTTTCTGCTTCAAGTTGCAACCTAAGTCCCTATCACTGACTTCCCTCAGTCATGGACTGTGGCCCAGAAACTGAAATAAACCCTTTCCTTCCCTAAGTTGCTTTTGTTCCAAGCATTGTACCACAGCATCAGATTTCATGGTGGCCCAACAACCAAAACCAAGTCAGGAGCATCTAAGCAGGTAGAGCAGAGCGTGAGCCCAGCATATACACAGCAACCCTGGGAAGACCTTCCTTCATCTCCCTCTGTGTGATGCTGGGCAAAGCACCACTCTTCCTGAGCCTCTTTCAGAACCATGAGAGGGTGGCAATCCCTAGAGACCTACCACAGCAACTGCCAATCCCTGTCCTTAGCGAGAGCCATCAACAACCCCAACACCTCAATCCGGACACCAAAACCTCAGGGACAAGCTGCCATGAGCTCCTCAAGCGACATATATTACCTTCTCCCCAAGGGCAAAGAGAGCATGACACCTCCCCCCCACCAAAATCTGGACAGGATGACAGAAAGGAAAAACAGAGGCAAGACACACCCACTAATAGGAATATACAATGAGACTGCTGCCTTAGAAACCAGCCAGGAACTTCCAGAGAAGAAAAAAATAACACAGGAGACAGCAATTTTACTCCCAGACATAGATGCAAGAGAGACAAACGCTGCTTGTTCCTGCTCTTATGGTATGGCTTTAGTCCCGGCTGACAAAAAGCCACCCAATGTCAACTGAGAATGGAAGGATAAAATGCAGTCTAGAAAACAATGGAATACGAAGCACTCCTGCAAAGGGATGAAGCGCCAACACAGGCCATAGTGTAAGAGAACCTAAAGCACCCAATGCTGGGGCTGGGGTGAGGCAGAAAGAACGAGAGAGAACAAAAGGCCATGAGCTGCATGGCTCCATTCAGAGGAAATGTCCAGAAGGACGAGAGCAGTGACACAGGCTCCTTTGGACAGTATCACACACATCTGGAAGGATGAACTATGCAGTGGTGGTACCAGTTTATGAAGGAAGAGAGAGTGAGCCAGGTCCCAGTGCAGGCAGGGGTCAGAGAGCCCACCACAGGCAGTACAGGATCTCAGTATCCATCTGCCCACCCTAGATTCTTTGGGGACAGACTGTGTTACAGTACACCACAGACCTGGTCTGGAGGTTCCCATCTATTGCCTTCAGCAAGCACACAGTGCCAAGGACTCATCTGCACCCTAAGAGTGCTTGCATGCACCCCAGACCCACATCCACCCTGTGCACCAATGGGCCAGCAACACCTGCCACCTGTGGCTGGTATGATCCAGTGCTGCTCCAACAAGGGCAGGTTTGGGCAGGGATTGGGGGGTGCACTTCTGCCTCATCCATCCCAGCAGATGCCCTGAGGCTGGGGCTGCTTTCCCGGCCTGTGTGACACCGCTGAGACCAGCAAGAGGATGCTGATAATCATGACAGTCATGGCCACCCTTCCCATCACAGGCAGGCACTGACCCAGGCAGCAGCACTGAAAGGTCAACGGTCCTACTGAGGGTTACACAGCCATCAAACAGAGAAGGGAATCTAGACCAGCCAACCGTGGGCGGGTTTCAGGCTTCAGGCTTCAGAGGCAGGGACAGGCTCGTTGCCCAGTAGCCACTCAAGAGTTATCTGCCAGCGGCCTTATCAGGTGTTGCTTCTGGCCTCCTCTTGGGGACAGTGTTGGACAGTAGAGGACTTCCTCTTCCCCTTCCCCTTCCTCACCACCCAACACCTGCTGCTGGACCCCATTCCTCTTACCCACCCAGCCCCCACCCAGCCAAGTGTGGCTCACCAGCTCCACCTGCGGCCCCAGACCTTCCAGGATCCGATGAGCAGCTTCAGCTTTCTTCTGTGGAGCAAAGAAAAAAGTAGAATTAAACAAGGATTCAGATTGGCACCAGCACTCCCAGAATGAGGCTAAAGCCCAATCAGCAGAGAAGACCCCAGTCACCTGCAGGAGTCCCCAGTCCCTCCCAGGTTGACCCCAGCTAGGGATCTGACCATGGCTAACCAGCTATCGCCTCACCCACTACCTTCTGCCAGGCTTGGATGCCTCTGGTGTCTGCTGACCTCAGAGCCAGAGCAGCAGGAGGGGACAACAGAGCCTTCTAGGATCCCATCTCACAATAGGGTGACTATTTCTGGCCTCTTACCCCCTCCCTCCACAAACCAGGACTCATTAGAAAAACAGAAGCATGCTGCAGAGGGCCCCATGGCTACAGGGCACCCCTCAATAGGCTGGATCTCATCCTCCCAGACCAACCCATGAAGACAACATTGTGCCTCTGCCTGGCTATCTGCCCAGACTGGGACCACCAGGGCCGACTTCCGGAAGCAGGGAGTGGGAGGAGGGGCATGGAGACCGGAGTGTGTGACACAGAGGCAGCTGGGGAAGACTGAACCCATGTGCCACAGAGCAGAGTGACCAGGCAGGTGCCAGAGAAAATTCCGGAGTCCACAGACGTCGTCATCGTCACCTGAGAGCTGAGCAAATGCAGAGCTACCTGACGGCGGGCAAGCTCACCCACCCGCACACAGCAGGGGCAGTGGCTTGTGGGTAGGCTCAAGCTGGCAAGCAGACCAACCTCTGCCTAGAGCTAAGGCCTAGTCGCCCCACAATTGGCTCTTCTGTGTAGAGCTGGGACCCTAAACCGGCAGCCTCGGGGTGACAGGAGCCAAGGCAGTAATGCTGATTCAGTTATGGTACACGGGTGTGTGCCACAGAGCGCTGAGGGAATCAGCTCCAGCTTTGTGCTTAGACAAAACACGGTGGGGCCACAGCTGTGCTCACACAGCTGGGGCGGGGTCTTGGATCTGGGGGTTCTAGGACCTTGTGCTCAGTCAACCACTAGGTGGCTAGACCCACGGCTTATATGAGGATGTGCAGTCCCTCCTTGGGGACAAGGGACAGCCCAGGAAGGGTGACTGCCTCAGGCTCACTACCTCTCATACCACTCCTTACCAAGTCCCACACAGTCCCTCCCTCACAATCTTCTGCCACCCTGGAGGCTGAAGCTACCCCTCCTGCTAAGATGGCCTAGGCCTTGCCCTCCTACATCAGGTCTAGCCATTTCCAGGCCCTCATGCTGTCCCAGCCACCTGCCAGGTTCAACCTACTTTTCCACCCTGGAAAGGTCTCAACTCCCCCAAATCCCTGAGGCCACCCTCACCTGAACTTATGCTGCCTTGCTTGTCTGCACACTGGATAGGGACAGCCATGAGACGGGGGTCCCACAGGGGACCTGCCAGGCTCACCTCCCTGGTAAGGACACAGGGGACAAGGCAGTAGCCTCATCACCCAGGCCTGAGCCCCTCACACCTGCTCTAAGACAGGACCGCGGGGGCTCTTAGCGGACCAACAGCCTGAGTCTCCCAGGGCACTTGCCAGCCTCCCCTAACACAGTGGCACACGGCAAGCACTTGGCTGCCACACCAATACCAGCCCTGGCATACAACAGGTTCCCAAACACTATTATGTCATCCTTATGTGGAGACAAAGCCAATTCACTGTAGATGCCGGTGCACACCACTTAAGAGGTGAGCCAGGCAACCTGGAGGTCTAGCAGGGCAGCTTCACACTGTAGACAGAGACTGGAGGTGACACCCCAACCAAGGAGACCACCAAACCCCTTAAGCCTCGGCTCTGACTACAAGCACACACAACTGACCCTGTAGATAAGGTAACCAGAGCCAGAGGGACATCACTGCCTTAGGTCCTGTGCCCAGAGAACAGCAAGAAATCAGGAGTTCCCTGAGCGTTTTGCAGGAGCTAGAGATCCTGGGGCCAGGTGGGACCAACAAGTCCTCAGCCACCAACATACAGTGCACAATGCCCCTGATGTCACAGGTGAGCCCCAGAGTCTAGACCAACATACTCAGCATGCACGTATGTGTCAACGTAAGCCCAGGCTGTGCACATGATGCCACACACATGTGCCAAGCAGACACACGTGTATGCCATACACAAGCAGGGACAATGAGTACAGGTGTGGCCTCTCCCATCCAGTCTCCTCCCCGACTGTGGCACACACCTCCTATGCTGCCCACAGACTACCAGGGAAGTGGACAAGCCGGCCTTGAGGACAGATGCGGATGCACAAGGCCTTAGGCAGCTCCCAGCAGGACAGGAACATTAGAGGCAGGCTCCTGTCCTGTCTTGTTGCAGAGCCATCGGAAGGAAGAGGAACTAAAACTTAATCCTATTGATCACAGAGTGCTCTAGGCCCTGTCATTTCTCAGGGGAAGCTGGGGAGGCAAGGCCAGCTCCAGGCGCCGTGCTCCAGTACAGGCAAAGGGACAATCATCTCCCATCTCCCTGTCCTAGCAACCTGGAGTGCCTACTATGCCTGACTGGGATTCAGCCCTTAACTAGGACAAAGGCAGGGATGTGTTCAGGGTTAGAGGGGCCTTCCTTACAAGAAAGATAGCTGAGCAAAGCATAGCAGGAAGGGGGCCTTGGAAACATGTGTCCACTATGGCTGGAGAGAGCCATATCTCACTGACTACTTCCCCTCCCCCACAGGCTCCTGAAGTCAGTTCGATCTTGGTTCTGAGTCCCAAACCCAAATCTAACCTGCTGTGCAATCTCAGGCAGGTCCCCTGCCCTTTATGAGCCCCAGTATCTTCCTTAGCAACAGAATACCTACCTACTTCCTACAGAGCCTGAGGCGCAAGCCTTGGCTCTCCCAGCCTCTCTCACTGGGCTTCAGTTTCTTATTCTCAGATACAGAGAGTCAGTTAACACAAGTCCAGACCTAGCCATGGAATCAGCCAATGAGAGTCCCAATACAAGGGGTTGAGACAGGAGCATCCCTCCCACCCACTAGGAGCCAGGCTTGCAAGCCTGAGCCAAGCAGAGTGTGGCAGCAGAGGCCAAGGCTGAGAATCAGGCCTTGTAGCTCAGGAAGGCGGTTCAAATCCCGCATCGACCACATCCTGGCTGCATATCTCTGAACAAGGTGTTCCCTGTCTCTGTGTTTCTCTATGTCTAAGACAGAAACACCTACCATGCATACCTTCGTAGGACTGGCCAGGCAGCTGAGACAACATTAATATCACCAAGTGTGTCACTAGATCTGCTGTGCATGTGTGAGGTGACGGCCATTTCTGTGACCAGTTTGCTCCTCACTCTCCTCCAGCCCAATGTTTATGTCAGGAAGTGGCCCGTGGGCTACCCTTCCCCAACCGCTTGCCAGCCTCTGCTGTGGTAGGGTCTCAGGGTTCAAGGTGACCTGCTCTTGCAGGGCGTACCCGGTTCTCGTCGTAGATGATCTGGACCAGGCTGCGGTGCTTTGATTCTATGGGTGGTGGCGACACCGGCTTCTCAGGTTCAGGAGGCTTGGCGGCCTCCTCCTCCAACTGTTGCTGCAGGGAAGGGGGACAGCATGAGTGGTGCAGGCCGGAAGCTGAGGCGCTGTCATCTCCCCCACACACACACACTTACCCGAAGCCACACACAGGAAGTCAGGCCAATCGCCATTTCCTATGAGTCACCCAGAGACTCTGTGCCCTCCTCAGCCGGGCTCCCTGACAGCTGCATCCAGGCTTCCTGGGTTCAAATCCTGCCCCAGAGACAGAGCACCGGGGGAGGGGGCTCTTCCTTGCTAGGCCTCAATTCTCATCTGTGCAAAGGTGCTAACTGGGCTGCAATGAGGACTAATGAGGTCACACAGGTGTGGCACTGTCCTGGGCTTGCAAGGGGGCAGCCACTCTTACCCACCACTGCCACCTCGAGCTTCTGGAGCAGCTGCAGGCAGAGTGACACCCTCAGCCTGGGACACTACTTCTGACCCACACTATGCAGCCTTGAGAAGTTAGTCATTATCTCTGAACCTCTAATTCCTGCCCTGGAAGTGAAGAGTTCCTAAACCTCTGAGGACTGACCCAGGAGCTGTGCAGACAGTGCTGGCAAGGCAAAACAGACTACTCAGCAGGCAGTTTTCCAGCACACCATCACCACCGTCATCAGTATCATAATCATCTTCATCACCACCGTTATCGCCACCATCACTGCCACTATTATCACAACTATCCCCATCATCATTATGCCCACCATTACCATAATCGTCATCATCGCCATAATCATTACCACCAGAATCATAACCACCATCGTCACCACCGACACCATGGCCATCAACACATCACCACCACCCATCACTGCCACTATCACCTCCATCACTATCCTGATCACTGCCGTCACCAATACCACCATCATCACTATCATCATCACCATCCTCACTCACCGTCAACATCACCATTGTTACTATCAACGTCATTATTACTACCACCACCCTCACCACTACCACCATCCTCATCGCCACCCTCAACTCCATCACACCTAGCAGGAGCAATAGCACTACCAATGCTACCATCACCACCACCTCCACTACCATCACCATCACATTCATTACCACCCCAACTATCACCAATCCTCACCACACACGCCTCTGTCTACACAATAGACCCCTTTTCCATTCCCTTATATCTGGCATCCCTTCCTGCTGCTGCTGTCTGCTTTACCCCAAAGACCGACACCAGGACCGAAGAGTTGAAGAGTCATGGATCTCAGGCTACACGGGAGGCCAGTGCCCAATGTGACCTACAGAGGGTGCCATAAGTGCCATCAGAACATGCTCCATCTTCCTGCTATGCATAGACAGCTGGCGTGTTCAGTCTCACGGGGCCAGAGCTTTCATGGCCCCATACAGGGAGAAGATGAGGCAGAACAGTCAACGCTGAGGCCAGATGAGCCAAGCTGCTTTGGTCCTGCAGTGACCCCTGGTGGCGGCTCTCAAAGTCCAGCCAAAAAAAAAGGAAACCAGGAAACCTAAGAAGCACAAAGGTGAAGGTGCTCCCCAGGAGCCAGAACAAACACTGCCATGGCTACAGCCCTGTCTAAGCAGCACGCATCCCAAGCCTGAAGTCAGACTTTAGTTTCAATCACTCAGGGCTCCAAAGTCACTGTGCCTCTCTGACCCTCGGCATCTTCCTGGGTGGGACCTGGCAGTGACACTGCATGCCCTACAAAGGTGTTTGGAGGACTCAAACAGACACTGAATCATAGCCCTGGTGTGAGCCGTGCTCTGAAGCACCCACGCCTCACACAACCTTCAACCACAGGCTGCGCAGTGATAAGCCCCCACCGGTGCGACCTGGAAACAGCACTGGGAGATGACGTGGGAAAAGCCTCGACCCTCGTGGGCAGAGGGTGGGCTACAGGTGGTGCAGCCACTGTGGAAAAGGCCAGGGTACACCTCACAGCACCACCACCACAGGACTCAGCAGGTCTGTACCCAGGAAAACCAAAACCAGTCCCTCAAGCACACGACACAGCACAACATAGCCACACGGTAAAATGCTACTTTTCCACGGAGAGCCGTGAGGTTCACCTGTGCTCCGTGAACCTTCAAGTCCTTACCCTGAGGACACGAGCCAGAGACACCAAAGTATGTATGTGAGTCCATGTTAGTGAAGTGTCCTAGCCCCCTGCTCAGAGGGTGGCTCTGGCCTGGGAGCTGGGATACTGGTAAATGGCTCTGAGTCTTTCAGGACAATGGAGGAAGTGAGCGCTGGGTACCATGGCCTACTGCCGGTGGATTGAAACTTTAAAGTGATAAGCTCATGCTTGGGCATTTAATTTAGGAATTTTAGTTTGGGGTGGGAGGTGGGGTCGAGAGATTGGTCAGTGGTGTAGTGTGGACGGCTCTTGCAGAGGACCTGAGTTCAGTTCTCAGCATCCAAGTTCCGAAGCTCTCAACGACCTCTAATTCCAGCTCCAGGCTAGCTGAAGCCCTCTTCCAGCCTCTAGACACCTGAACACACACGCACACCCCCCCCCCACAAACACATAAATCAAAATTCATCCATTTATGAATATATATAAAGGGGTGGGGCACGTGTGGCGGTGCATTCCTTTAATCCCAGCAGAAGCAAGATTGTCTCTGTGGGTTCAAGGCTAGCCTGCTATACAGAGTGAGTTCATGGCAGCCAGGGCTACACAATGAGACCTTGTCTTAAAAACAAGGGTTGGGGAGAAAGGGCCTGAACCAGGCAGTGGTGGCACATGCCTTTGGTCCCAGCACTCAGGAGGCAGAGCCAGGCAGATCTCTTTGAGTCTGAGGTCAGCCTAGTCTACAGAGTAAGTTTTAGGATAGCTAGGACTACAAAGAGAAACCCTGCCTCAAAAAGAGGGGGGGGAGCGGGGGGAGGTGATGGTTAACCCATGGCAGGCTGACAAGTCACACGATAGAAAGAACTGACTGCCACAAACTGTTCTCTAGCATCGACATGTGCACACACACATGCTCGAGCACGCCCACACACATACACACACAAATAAGGATAATTTAAAAACAAAAACATTCTTTTATAAGATACCATTCAAAAAGCAATTTTAGGTAAACAACTGTTTTAAAAAACAAAAACTAATAACAGCATCAGCTCTAGTCACTTAGCCTCCAGAGCCAGTAAACAGGCATGCACACAGGGCAGCTCCAGCCCAGCCCCCAAGCCAGGCCCGGAGGACTGAAGATCTGAATTCTCCATTGGCCTGCCATGGCCAACCCGAGCAACTGCAGCAGGGCCCAGACTCGCTCTAGGATTCTGGGCCACCAACCATCTTGAAAGCCCTCATTGGCCTGCTCCTAGATCCCACTCAGCCCTTCATGCAAGCAACAGCTAAAGGTCCCTTCTCCACCCTGGGCAGCTCAAGGTGCCTCTCCCAGGAAGCCTCGGTCCCCTGCAGGCTCTGGATTCTGTTGGAGTGTAGGTGTGTGAGCCTGATGTGCCCAGCCCACAGGCTTCCAGAATCAAGACATAACCCTTGAAAAAGAGGAAATCGCAGGGCCCCGGGCACCTGAGAGTGTGGAGCCAGGCTGCTCCCTTCTTTACTGCTCACCTGTTTTTTCTTCAGCTTGGAGATCTGCTGTTCCACCATGGTGATCTCTCGATCCACACGGTCCATGTTCTGGATCAACTCCTCCTTGGTCAGCCGAGATGGCGCCAGCTCCAGCTCAGCGTCAGCGTGTGGCGGGCTGGGGGGTGACACGGGCTCCAGCTTGCCGGCCAGGCTACGCTCCTATGAGTGGACAGAGACAGAGGGTGGTCACCCAAGTTAGCCTGGCATCTGTTTCCCAGCCATGACTTCAGGCCTCAGCATAGCAACTTTCTACCCTGCACATGGATCCTGCCTTGCTGCCTGGTCCTGACCACCCTTCCCATGGCTGCGTTTATCCAGAAGGCTCCTGGGCCAGCTGAGCAACGAGTCCCTGCTGCCTCCTCCTGGCTACACCTCTCCTATTCCCCCAGAACAGAATTAAGATGCCAACAGTGACCTCCACCTCCAGCCCAGCCCTATATGCCCTCCACGGGTGCATGACAGCCTGTGTGTGCAAGCAGGTTGCAGACCCCGACTGGAGCAGTCCGCTTTTCAGAAAACACCCCTGTCACAGCACACAAGACTCGCGGAGCCACCAAGCCTCGCTTCTTTTTTCTATTTTTACAGAGCAGGAGATGAAACCCCGGGGCCTTACACATGCTAAGCGAGCGCTCTATCACAGGCCTAGCGCCTCTAAGCCATTTTTTACCTTCAATCTTTTAGAGATTTATTTTATGTGGGTTTTGCCTACGTGTACGCATCTGTACTATATGCATGCCCAGTCCCTTCAGAGGTCAAAAGAAGGAGTCTGAACCCCTGGAACTGGGGTTAAGACAGTCACAGCTGTGAGCCATGTGGGTGGTATGAACTGGCGAGCCATCTCTCCCTTTGTTGCCCAGGGTGTCCTCTTGTCTCAGCCTCCCACATACAGGCTGAACCACACCAGGCTCTTAGCTTATGGGCATGGCGTCACCAGGGCTCCTCCGTGAGGCTGACAGGCTAACCGTGTATCTCACACATGGCCCTGCACCTGGCTCCTCCACGGTTTCCTGTTCTCCAGCTAGGGTCAGGGACCACCCAGGCTGTACTAGGATGCTCTGGGAACAAAGAGGTTAGGAAAACAACCCAGTTCCCGTCTATATGGCCCTGGGCTCCAGTCCCAGCCCCAATCTACAGCACTCAGTTCCGTGAACACATATTGTACACAGATGTGCTGGCTATCTCAGGGTCCCTATCTGTAAGATGGAAGGGAGAGATGGTTGGTCCACCTCCACAGTGGCCTGGGAGCCTTGGTGCATCCAAAATGCTCAGCCCAGTATCTGCCAAACTGTTACCAATGAACAGCATGGTCAAGAAACGTCTGTCCCTATCCTGGTCCCAGGCTAGGCCAGCCCCACCCTGCTCCTCTCTAGGCCAAGACAGCAGCTGCTGGCAGACACAGCCAGGCAAAGTCAGCGGCTGCTCCCCGCCCCCACACAGCTGCGACTAAGGACACAGGATGCTTTTATTCCTGGGAACAACTGCAGCCTGGGCAATCAGGTGCCCCACCTACCCCCACCCCCACTACCCTCGCAAGAGCCTAGAAGAGCCTACAAGTTCTATTTGTCCTCGTTCTCTGTCTCAGTGTAGCACTTTGCCCCTGATCTCATGCTGCTATCTAAAACATGAGGACAGGAACATGGCACACTGGGGGCTGGGGACTTCAGGCTCTCCTCCAACAGAATCCTCAAGATCCATCTTGAAACAGAAGGTGGCAGTGAGCATGGTCCCCCGGCCCCAGTGGTCATAGTGTCCCCTCTGCTCTGTTCCCAACAAACGGAAGGAAAAGAAACAGAATGAGAATAAGGGTATATAGGCTGTGTGGCCTGGCAACCTAAAACCATGGACCAAACCTCCCGCAGCCAAGGATGGGTTTCAAAGCCGTGCCACCTACAGGAGGCTCTGTCCCCAAGTCTGGGGCGGCACAGTTACAAGATGCAACACCAGCCACACCATGTGGCTGAGCCCCACTTCCTGGACCGGTTGGATCAGGCTGTCTTTCATGGTGGTTCATCCTTGTGATCAGGCATGAAATGGACCAGAACCACACACCCCACAGTGTACAAACACACAGCAGGCCCCTGTTGCCTGATACAAACACTTCCACATAATGGGCCACCAGAACAAAGGCCACGAACTGTGAAACACGATCACAAAAACATCCAAGGCAGACTGCAGGGCTAGGGGAAGCCATGCAAACAACTCCCTCACAGATGGAGGGGCTCTCTCCAGAGAGATGACAACCTCCTGACTCCTGACTCTCCTGCTACTGGCTTCACACATAGCGAGCCAATGGCAGGAGAGGCAGGGCCTGGCATGCCACGATACATAACAGGCCAGCTTCTAAGTGGTAGGTGACTTTGCTTGCAAGCGACCCCACCCACCTGTTTGCGTCCCAAACTGGACAAGCCCTGAGCCCAACAAGAAATGGGACGGCAATTTAGTTCTCTCCCCAGACTCTTTCAGTCTGATTCTTGTCAGTCAGTCAGTCAGTCAGTCTTTCCCAGTCCATCAGTCCGTCTCTCCTCAGCCTGCCAGTCAGTCAGCCTCTCCCCAACCCACCAGTCAGTCAGACTCGCTCCAGCCAGCCAGTCCTTCCATCATTCTCCGCCAGCTCAGTCACTCTCTGCAGTCCTGTGCCAAGCAGAAAGCGTCAAGGCAGCAGTAAGAAACGTTTAGTTTCTGACGTAGACCTGACATGAAAGGCCTGGGAATGGGACCCCAAGGCTGATCTTTTCCAGTTCCAGCAGAAGCTGGTGGCCAACCCAGCCAGAGACAGGTTCCAGGCCAGAACTGGGGGGAATAGCAGAGGTGGCTGATGGGGAGGAGGTGCCCACAGTCACAAATGCTGTCTCTAAAGCACTCTAACTAGCTTGGGCCACGGTGCTGTCAGCCACCTGAGCTGAGCTCAGCCAGAAGCCATCAAACTAGGACTTCGTTACAGACGTTAGAGTTCAGGGTGTGTGCTTAAGCCAGTGTTCCACACCCCAAACACTGAAGGATCTTTCAGAAACGGACATCCTAAAGTCTTCCAAAACAATGCTCAAAGAACTCCCAAGGCACTGGGAAGCCCCGCAGGACAGCACTGCCAAACGCTGGGGGAGGGGGCAGAAACTCCCCCCAAACTCCTGCTCCTGCTTCCAGCTGGACTCCTCACAAACCACGTTTGCTCAAAGCTGTGTACATTCCATCCACACCCACCCAGTCCCCCTGGAGCCTGGCTCCAGCCCAGCCGGGGCCCAGGCAAGGGAAAGGGGAGCCAGATGAGAGGAAGGCGAGAGGCAGAGACAGTGAGGGACAGACAGAGACAGAGATGCACAATCAAGCAGAGATAGTGTGAAAGGCAAGAGACATGAGGCAGAGACCCTAAAGGGGCATGTGCTGGCTAGTTTTATGTTGGCAAGTTATAGTCATCTGGGGAAGGAACCCTGACTGAGGAAATTCGTCCATAAGATCAGGCTAGATGAAAAGCCTGAGGTGCATTTTCTTAATCAGTGATTGGCAGGAAAGAGCCCAGCCCATTTGTGGGTGATGACACTGCTGGGCTGGTGGTTCTGGGTTCTATAAAAAAGCAGGCTGAGAAAGCCATGAGGAGTAAGCCAGCAAGGAGCACCCCTCCATGGCCTCTGGATCAGCTCCTGCCTCCAGTGTCCTGCCCTGTTCCTGACTTCCTTTGATAATGAAGATTGATGTGGATGGCATATACCAAATAAACCCTTTCCTCCCCAAGTTACTTTTGGTTTTGATGTTTCATCATCACAACAAAAATAACCCAGACTAAGACAGAAACTGGTACCAGAATCCTGGGGCATTGCTGTGACAGACCTGACCGGGTTGTTCCGGGGAGAATTTTGAAAGTTTGGGCAAGAAAACTCATTGATTGTTTAAAGCATAATAAGCTAGTCTGTAAAAGTGGAAGAAAACAGTGTTGAGAGAAATGCAAATGATGGTGGCCTGGCTTGTGGAGTTCCAGAGGGAATTTTGAGAGCATATTTGCTATTTGGGATTAAGACTCTGGTTTTGGTCAGCTGGGACTGAAGAGTCAGCCATAATTTAACAAGAGACTAGTGAAAACTTTGCTTTACTGGAACAATTGATGACCGTCAGCTGGAGCTGAGAAATTAGTGGTGATTAAGAAGAGACCAGTGTCACTGAGGTGAAATCTGGGAAGAGTTTCCTGAGATCCAGCACACAGAAGCTGTGTTCCCAGAGCGGCCAACACTGTACCTTACGCTGGCAGCCAAACTTGGTAATGTAAGAGTCACCTAAGTGGGCCAGGCAGTGGTGGCACACATCTTTAACCTCAGCACTTGGGAGGCAGGCAGATCTCTGAGTTTGAGGCCAGCCTGGTCTATAGATTAAATTCCAGAACAGTCAGAGCTACACAGAGAAAACCTGTCTTAAAAACCAAAACAAACAAACAACAAAAACCCAAAAACAAAGAGTCATCCAGGTAGTATTGGTTTTAAAGACATGAAGGGGTCATGAAGGCAGGAAGCTGAAGTTAGGCACTGTGAGAGGCCATTGGTAAAGGTGCAGCCTCAGTGGCAGGTGAAGGCCCAGGATGAAGGGGTCATACAGAGAAGTTGAGCCTTGGCAACATAAAGAGGGCCCAAGAGAGGCTATTGGTGAAAGTGCAGTCCAGTTACAGCAGAAAAGCCTGGTGTTTTGGAGATGCCAGTACCATGGGATGACCACCAGGAACAGCAGAAGCTGTGGAGTGGAGTCAGCCAGAGCCAGGATCCTAGACAAGCCCTATGGAGGAGCCCAAAGATCCTGAATGGACCTCAGACACTGGACATTGCATTGTTTACACAGTTGGAGTTTGGTTCTCCTTTGATCTTATTGTGACTGTGCTCTCGTTCTTCCTTTTGAAGTAGGAAAGTATTTAACTGATTTTTGCTTTTACAGGAGCCCACAATTGAGAGACTTTAAACTTGTACAAAACAGATTTGAGAGTTTTACAGAGACTTTGAATTTTAAAAGAGACTGGATATTTTTAAGAAGACAACCTTTAGTGTGCTTGATTTGTAAGGCTATGGGGCTTTATAAGCTTGTAAACTGTTTTACATTGTATTGTTATGTCTTTATTAATGTGTGATCTTGGGGATGAATAAGAAAGGAAAAGTTGAGGCTAAACTGTGATGTGTTTATGTCAAGTTGACAAAGGGTCAGTTGTGCTGGCGAGTTTTATATCAACTTGCAACAAGCTATCTGAGAGGAATAAACCTCAATTCAGAAAATGCCTCCATAAGATCAGGCTGTAGGCAAGCCTGTGTGTAGAGCACTTTATTAAATTAGTGACTGATGGGGGAAGACCCAGGCCATTGCAGATGGTACCACCCCTGGCAGTCCTCCGTTCTCTAAGAAGCAGGCTGAGCAAGCCATGAAGAGAAAGCCAGTAAGCAGTGCCCTCCATGGCCTCTGTATCAGCTCCTGCCCCCAGGTTCCTGCCTTGTTTGAGTTCCTATCCTGACTTCTTTCCAAAATAAACAGTGATTCAGACACAAATTCCAAATAAACTCATTCCTTCCCAAGTTGCTTTTGGTTTCATCACAGCAAATGGTAATCCCTAAGACAGGGTGACAGGAGCATTTAAGCCACAAGAGGCCTCAATGGGTGACCGTGAGGGCAAAACCCTCAAAAGAACCACAGGCTAAAACTGGGACGCTCCGGTGAGCAGCTAAGTGACAGTAGAGGCTGACAAGTTCCCATGGAGACATTAAACCCAGAGCTGCTCCTTAGACACCCATCTGCTACCCATTGATGGAGGTCTACTACTGAGAGGCCAGGCCCATCCCCTCCTGCCTTCTGCAAAGCAGAGAGAGCTGGCTCAGGGTTAACAGGGGTTCTAGGACGAGAAGAGCCTCTCCCCAAGAGCTGCCTGCCTAAATCCCATCACCGGCTTCTAGCTCTTAGCCTAAGCTCTAAACAGGGATGTCCTAGGTTGGTCCACGGGGCTGGAAAGACCTTGACATATGACAGGCTATGTAGATGCTCACTTGGTGTGAGCCTGTCATCCTTGTAGCCTTGGGCATGTTTCCTCCTTGCTGCCCCCATACAGCCCCCACCTAGCCTGGAGCTGCTTGACTCACCCACTTGGGGTACACAGCAGGGAGAAAGACCCCACCCCAGTGCCCTGAGTGGCCACTCCCCTTCTGAAGCCTGGTCCCTAGCCCCCATATGGCCATCAGATGTCATTCCCAGCTTCCTGTCAAGCTCTGAAGCCAGTCTCCTTGGCCACTGGAGGCACGGCAGACACCTACACTAAACATACATCTGGACAGCCAGGAAATGCCCATCCTTGTGGTACCAGTCACATCACCCAGGACTTCTGGGGCAGGGGGAGCAAGGGATAGATGGACAGTATAAGGGGATGGACAGATGAGGACAGAGGAACAGATGGGGCAGCTGTTGGGAGGTATATGGCAATAGAGCAGGATGCCGGATGGTGACTGGAATGGGCAGATGGGAGGGTGGAAGTGGGGACAAAGGGACATAGACAACTGGAGCTGAAAGAAGATACAGCGGAGGGGTGACAGACGAGGGAAGGAGAGAAGGGGCGAGCACAGGGCAAAAGGTCTGGGGGGAAGGAATAACATTTGGGCAAGGGATGCAGAAGCTGCAGCGAGGCTGGAGGACGGCCCAGTGGCCAGACCTGGCCCACGTCCAGACCCAGCGTGGTCAGCAGAGTTCCCTGCCAAGTAGGTTTCACAGCCTTCAGGAGCTTCCCTACAGCCTTAGATACCCAACCTCCAAGGGAAACAGCAGGGAACCAGGGGCACAACAGCCAGTGTCAGGGACCAGGGGTAGAGCCAGGCAAGGTTTAAGCAGCCACAAAGAGGCAAAGGGGGCTGATATGGAGAGATGAAATGAAGTCAGGGCTCTATTGCACCGGACCGGATGGCCGCCTGAAAAAGAGCCAGATCTTTCTGCCTGAGAAAGGAAGTTTGGGACCCAGGCAGGTCCTTGCCTGTCCCCACATGACCCGGTGGTGAGGTGGTAAGGGGGGGAAGGGGGGGAGGTGGAGGGTGGCAGATGATGAGAAGACCACTGCCACCACTGATGGTTGCCCAGGGCAACTGAGGCTGACATAGGCTGGACACTGGCTAGACCTGGAAGGATATGGATGCTGGCTAATAGGCTGAGTAGACAGAAGAGAAAGGAGAGGGAAGGGTCCTGGAGTAGCAGAGGAGAGAGAGCTGCCTGAGGTAGGCAAGTATCAGTCTGTCAGTCTGTAACTGACCTTTATTTCACAGGGATAGTCTGGGGAGGGGAATGAGGACTACCTCGATGTCAGGGAAGCAAAGCCCATTTGCCCCCTGACATCCTGGCACCTGCCTTAGGTCACTCTGACAGGGTCACAGCAGCCGAGCAGAACACTCTGGGAATAAGCTGGACTCCTGGAGCTCTAACACGCCAACAACATTCCAGAGCTCATGCCAGCATCTTTACTGTCCCTATAGAGGCTGGTCCAGCCTTAAGGTGTGTGTGCAAAGCTTACAGCCAAACCCTCTATCCAGACAGCCTGGACCACTGAGGGCCGACCTGCTACTGATAAACAAGGAGCCAGCTGGGCTCAGAGGCCCGAGCCTGTGGCAGCACAGCAACAGAGCTGGGGCAAGAGAATAGACAGAAGGCTTAGATCAAGCCTGGCCCGGAGTCACACACCTATCACTGGAGCTACATGCAAGGCTTAGGCAAGCTTGTGATTTCAAGACCTGCCTGAGCTACAGAGTGAGTTCGAGGCCAGCCTGATCCATTTACCAAGATCCTATTTAGGGAAAATATACAGAAATAGTAAAAGGAGGGCTGAAGATACAGTTTGGTGGTAGAGTGATGGCCTAGCATAGATAAGGCCCAGAGTTCCCACTCCCAGCACACCAGGGTAGATGAGCACACAGGATGGAGCTGAGAGATGGGTACCCACTGCTTCCTGGGGTGCAAAGGGCCTCTATGGAGACAGGACTCAGCTCTGGAGCTCCTCAGGCTCACGTGGCTGCAGACATAGACCCGCCCAGCCAATGTAGCAACCAAGGAGCCAGTTAGACCTGGGCAGCAGCAGGGCCATCTGTCACCCTGCCTGAGCCCTCAACTCCAGGCCCTGACATGTCTCCTCTCAAGGGACTTCACAGACCCCTTCCCCAATGCTCAAACATGGAGCAGTTCTGGCTGTCCAGTTTTCTGCATGAAACCTGAGAAGCCCCAAGCCATCATTCCATACAAGCTTCACTGATGAAACCCAGTCCCAATGGAGCACACAGAATGTGCTACCATGGGCACGGGGCTGACCTCATGCCAATCAGCCCCCAACTCTCTGCTCCAAGCTTTGAAGGGCCCTCATTCCCCATTTCCCCGGTCATCTCAGCCAGTGATCATAGCCATACGCCGGGGCCTGCCACACAGTCCGTACACACACCTGCTGGCTAGAGATGCCTTTCCCAATTCTTTCCATCACCCGCGCCTACTCTCCTTACCTGCCTCAGCCCCACTGCTCTGTCCCACCTTCACACTCATGTCACAGCTATCCTCCCTCCTTCCACCCAGCCTTCTCCTGCCTCCATGCCCACCCCTTTCCTGCCCACAGGAGCAGCGGCGGCAGGAGCAGAGCCCATCAGCCTGGCTGCGGTGTACCTTGGTAAGGTCTTCAGACCCACTGGGCTGCCCAGTGGCCAGCAGGGGCGACGGGCGCAGAAGGGTATCAGGCAGTAGCTCCAGGCGAGGACGCTTGCTCTCTGTGAATTCTATGTCAGGCTTGCCCAGCTCAGGCAGGAAGGTGCGAGACTCAGGGCGCAGGTGGAGCTCCTGAGACCTGTGGAGGCCAGGGACACACGTCACACAGGAGACAGGGGCTCAGGGCCAGGATTCCAGGTGTCCACCTCGCCAGGTTCTCATGAGGAGCCTTGTTAGGAGGTCCCTCTGTCTTCCCTGACAGGAGAGGACATGGTTCTGACTCGTGAGGCCTTGTGAATGCCCAGCCTGAACCACTCATTGCAGCCTGAAGACCCCGGAGACCCTCCTGAGCTGATCAGGAATGCAAAACCTAAGACCTACCCCACTGTGACATGTTATTGTTAATGATGACTCTACATTTTAACAAACCCCTGAGGACTCCAAGGCACAGGCCTGAGCAGCACTACGGGAACCATGCAAAAAACAACATACTCAACACTAATCCTTCTCACCCTCCCCGGGCAGACATCACTAGCTCATCACGGCACTCCTACTGTTAAGCCTAGTCTAGCCAGCAGGCGTAGAGCTTGTGAGCCTTCTGCCTCTTAACCACTCTCCTCTACCCTGGGTAATGCTCACAGGTGCCATCTTCACCTACAAGTCCACAGCCCCTATTCCTGGGAGACCACAGCCCTGGCATGGTCCTGGGATGCCAGGAGGAAAGGCTGAAGTCTGGACCATTGCAGCTTTACCCACAAAAGTATCGGTATCTACCTGAGAGACACCACAGCCTAGGAGGAGTCGCAACTTCTCCTCACCTTTCACTCCCAGGCTGGAACTCAGACAGCAGTGAGGGCCGCCGCCTCTGCGGCTGGATGATGGAGCCCGGTGACAGGTGCGAGGCGTAATCACGAGGGTGGTGTTGGTACTCAAGCAGCCCCACGTCCTGTGGAAGACAGGGAATGGTGAGCAAGTGCAGAAGCAAAAGCAGCTTCCCTGCACCAAGAGGCCCACATGAGCTCCCAGCCAACATCCTCTAGCGACAATTGCCACAGCGATGTTCCCACCATGCTCTGAGGCCTGCCCAGCTGCAAGGCACTGCTGGGGAACTCCTTCATGTAGAGGAGCATCATAAAAACCACAACGTGCGACTCCACATCTCCACACAAGGCCTCCCTGGGCTCCATGGTGTCCCTGAGTTGCTCTACTCCCCAGCTGGTGCACCTGAGCCTGGGGGAGGGGTTAAGCATGGTCCCTCTACAAATCCCACTTTTACTGCTGCCCACGCCACTCAGCTGCAGATTTAGAGAAAGGACCACACAGAAAAGAACGAGCCACTTATCCTAGGCCTGCTGACACACAGCTAGGAAATGCCCGAGCACAGGACTGGTGAGCATGGAGTGGCCCTAAGAGCACCAGCCTTCAGTGGGGACCCAGGTATCCTTGTGGACGGGACTCTGGTGGGAGCCAGGCTCAGGCACTAAGGGGAGGGAGGGATTGCAGAGCCAGTGCATATGGGGCAGAATGATGGCCCAGTAGGACCAGGTCTCAGCCAAGCAGCTGTCCGGGAGCCCCACCCACCCTGAGAAAGAAGAGCTGGCATACACAGTGTGGGGAGGGGGAGAGGCAGGCTACACACTCCCACTTTGAGCAACGACATGATTTCAACGGTCTAAGCACACCTGGGTCGTCATGGTCCAAAGAGGAGGCCTCAATCTCGGCCGACCCTTGCAGCCAGAGTGCTGGAGAGTCAGCACAGCTGACAAATTCCCCTAGCCTTGAAGTCTCAACTCAGTGCCACGTTCCTGCACTGCCCACTAGCAGCCTGAGTCTTAACCTGGATCCCACAATCACTACGTAAAGCTTTCCCACATTTTTAACAAGGGCTAAGATCACCTTATCACTGTGGGAAAACAAAAGAAGGGGGAGGGGAGAGGAGCAAGCGTGCACACCATCTCTAATAAGATAAAACAAGACAGGCTTCCGCCTTGTACCAAGCCAATCAATCTGTTCTATCTGCCTAGACACTTGGTTACACTGCATGGCAATCGATTAGCGATGTCTGACTTGGGAATGGCTACAGGTAACCTAGTTTTCCTTTGGCATATTTTCTTCTTTTCTTGGTCCCCTTTATTTTGTTTGCTTTGGATTTTATTTTACCTTTAATTATGTGTCTGCATGTTTATCTTTGTATATATGCACTTGAGCACAGTGTCCATGTCAGCCAAAGAAAGCAGTGGATCCCTTGCAGCTGGAGTCAAAAGCAGCTGTGAACTGCTAAATGTGTGTGCTTGAAACCAAGCTCAGATCCTCTGAAAGAGCAACACAAGCTCTTAACTGCTGAGCTGAGGCATATCTGCAGCCCCTGACTTTGTGTCTTTAAGCAGTCCTTACTGCAAAGAATCACTGGCATCAGTCAGGTGTGCTGAAAGTGCGGAAGCAGTTGGAATCCTGCCCCTAGTGGGTGAGCAACTAGAAAACCTCAGAGACCAAACTTGAAGGGAAAGATCTGGCAGGAAAGACCTTGCAAAAGACCCTGAAGGAGAACTCTGCAGGACAGGACCCATGGGAAGAACAAGGTTACAAGGATGACAGTACAAAGAGGATTTCAAGGGGAAGGATTCATACTCAGGTCACCGCAGCCAAGCCTGCTGCACAAGCTGCTAATGTGACCACCGAGGCAGGCAGGCACACAAGGAGGCTATCATGGGCAGTCACATCAAGAGAATGATGGGCCAGAGAGCAAGAACAGTTCCTCCAGCTCACACAGCAAGGGCAACACAGGTTCTGCAGGGAAATGAGACAGCCACAGGTCACAGACTCTAAGCCTACCCCAGATGATTACGGCAGGCCGGACTCTGGAGTGGAGGCCCACCCCAGCCTCTGTATATTTCCACAGCAAACAGAACAAGTGGGGAGCCAAGAAGCACACTCCAAAACAAGCCTAAGAAGTAGAGAGCCACACCAGATCATATGGAGGCAGTGTTCAGGCAACTCCTGTGAACCCCGGGTTCATTGGTCACCACTGAGCAACGCGCTCATGCCAACAGAGCCTCACCTCAGTGCTGTCACTGAGCCTAGAGTTCTGTGTGTCCAGACACCATGCTCCTGGCCTGCCCTTTCTCCCAGGTCCCAGCTCCACTGTCAATGTCTGGCTCTCCACTTAAATATGGCCTCCCCTAGCTCAATGTTCCCCAAGAGAATGTCAGCTCCCCAGAATGAGAGGGCTTCTCCACCTCCACAGCTCTGTCCCCAAGGCTTCGAAGTTGGCAGGTGACAAATCTAATCAGGATTTGATGAACAAATGAGTGAATAAGTTAATGAGTGCATGAATGAGTAGCTAAGTTAATGACTGAATGAGTGAGTTAATGAATGAATGGATCAATGGGTGAGGACCCTAAGGCAGTGCTGTGACATGTTCAGGTGGTTTAGGACTCCCCAATGTGCCCACATACCCAGGACATCAGTCCTAGCCAGCATCCAGTCCCAGCAGACAAGGGCAGGCTGAGCTCTGTGTGGCATGGCAGAGTTTGTGACCAACTGGACAACAGCCCACAGTCCATCCCATAGCCAAGAGTCAACCAGCTAGGCCTAAGGCCAAGGCTGGGGATGGCAAACTTTGTCAGGCGTCCCTGGCACACACCTTGCCAGGCACTGACCTGCGGATACATGGCTCTTGAACCTCATTGCCAGCAGCATGGATGCAGGGGAGGTGAAGAAACTACCAAATCTGGGCAGCAAAGCCTGAGGCTTACAGGAAGCATGCCACCCCTGGATACCAGGAGAGGACTAACAGTCTGATGCTAGAGGCAGGGTCCCCTACACTTGGGGTTCCTACTGTCCCATCACACAGAGACCTGCTCGTAGCCCAAGCATGATGTCACCTCAACAGAACTCCAGCCATTTTATAAGCACCTCACTTGACTGAGTGAGAAGGAAGAGCCTCTGGGAAGACAGGCCCGCTAGAGCGTGTGTAAGTGGCCTGGACCCGAAGAGCATGTTTTCCAGGCCCAGGACACCACACACTGAGCTGGTCACTGCACTAGGGCTAGAACACAGAACTCCCCAAAACGCAGTGTTCCCCCACGGGGCATCGGCCTTGTTATGCCTCCATGTCTCCTCTTCTCTGCCCTTTCTCTCCCCAAGACGTAAGTGTTACAGGAAAGCATAGCCTTTTTCCTGGCTGTACTCCTTGGGGCACAGGAAAGGGATGGGGTGGAGTGAGGGCTGAGGGAGTAGGGAAGGGGTTCACTTGAGGAACGGCCTTGGGGAAGGCTGGAGAAATGAGGGTGAGGAGGCTGAGAGAAGGGGCTGCAGGAAGGTCGGAGCTGGTGGAGAAGCCTGAGGGACAGAGTGGGGGAAGGGCTGGGGACAGGGTCATGGGGAAGGCTGCGAAAGACCAGGGGCTCCTGATCACAGACCCCAGCCTTCAACAAGCCAGCACAAAGAAACAGTAAGGAGGCCTAGATATTCACCAGGAGAGAGTCACCGTGGACTCCAGGGATCAGCAGAGCCCTGCTTGGTGGCCCAGCAAGGGCTGGTGGCCCAGCAAGGGCTGGAGGCCCAAGAGCAAGCAGGTCCCCTGGAAGGGAGAACATGGGTCCCACCAGGGAACTAACATGTTCCAACCTGTAGCTATCCCATCAGGTCACATCACTTCAGAGGGGTTAGAAACCATTGGACCCCATCCAGCGGCATTCTGCGTCACCAATGGCCCGGCAGGAGAGTGGGAGGTGCCTAGGGTCAGCCAGTGACCCTAAATGCTTCGGACAGGACACAACTGGGGCAAAGAGCAGGAAGGCAGGTTGGGAGGGAAGGGGCTGCAGCAGCCAGGGGACTCCCTGAGGCTGGGCCCACACAGAGAGAGTGGATGAGCAATATGAATGAAGGAGCACAAGGAGGAGGCCACAAGGAGGAGGCCACATCTGCCTCGGGAACTGGGGTGGAGGTGGCGATGGGAAAGGGGGAGGCAGGACGAACAAACCCCAGGCAGGGCCCTCTAGGAAATGGCTTTAACAGCATCAAGTTATGGTGGTAGCAGTCACATGGGATGTGCACAGGCATTCTTGCGGGTGCCCTCATCACCCCTACTTTATGGTGACAGAACTGAGAGCCCCCGACATTTTAAATAGCAAGTCTGGCTTCCTCACCACCTTGCTGCGGGTACTGGCTGTGACCCAGCGCCTTAAACAGCAGATGGTCAGTGAGTGGTGGCATAAAGGCTGGGGCTAGGGAGTGTAGGACCCCAACACTGCCGTGGCTGCCCCTGGATGATGGTTGGGGCTTGTCTTCTCCTTCCAGGCCCCAGCTGCTTTATGCTTTACCCAAGGACCCACCACCCCGAGAGCTGTCTGCCACACAGGGAAGACTGTTCACTGCAGCTGGCTCTGGACCTTGGCCTTTAGTTCTGCGGGAGCTGCTGCACAAGGGACCTTGAGGCCAGGCCCTGGGGCTCATGGGAAAGCATCCATCGATCACAGGTAGAGACACACACCACATAAATACACCTGCCACAGAAATGGACCACACCATCTGGTAGAGACTAGGCATGAGCCTAGATTGACTGACTGGCTGGCTGGCTGGCTGGCTGGCTGGCTGACTGACTGACTGACTCTCTCCCTCTGGCTCCCAACCAGCCACAATTACTACATCTCACATCACAACCCTTCACTCAACAGCCAAAGACATAGCATACAAGAGGCACGCAATAAAGGCCCACAGAGAGGATTCAAAGGCCCAGCCTCCTGCTTGCTCTACAGTAAGAGGTGAACAGGATCCTGGTAGGGGCAGACACTGCTCTGAGCTCAGAGTCTTACAGCCAAATAGGCACCAAGGCCTTGAGGGTTAGGAAGAAGGGGGTCGTGATCTCAGTCTTCCCACTCCCACCCCCCCCCCAAAAAAAACCCACCCTAGTCCCAAACAAAACAGAAATGAGTCTGGCTGTGAAAGGAGTGTACAGTAACCATAGGTGTTCCACTGCGCATGCCAGCTCCACTGCCCATCAAGACACAGACAGAGCATCCGACAGTCAGCCTAGTCCCAGCCTCCATCTCCCCACACTGACACAAGCACTTGCTTTGTATCCCAGGCTGGTCTCAAAATCACAATCCTCCTGCCTCCTCCTTTCTACAACGCTGAGATTACAGGCCTGCATCACCACACCTGGCTGCCACCAGTGTCCCCACTGCGACCAAAGCAACATGGGCTGCAGCAGCCTGGCTTCAGAAGATGCTTTAAGGTAGCAGAGGTGGTCCTGGGCAGACAGGCCCCTTACCGTGTGGGGCCGGGCTATCTGCACCGGGTAGGAGATGCCATGGGGAGGGTAGCGGGGCTCAGCAGCCCGCCACGTCTGTGCCACAGGCTGCGTGGATCCTGACATGGTGGTACAGTCCAGGCAGGCTTTAGAGCCCAATACACTCTTGACCAGGGCTAGGACTAAGGGCCGGTCTTGGTCATCTGCTGGCAGGCGACCTCGTCACAGGTGCCTGTGGAGAAAAGAGAAAGAAAACAAACTGAGCCGGAGGCAGCTGGACCATGGCCACAGCGGCCTAGTCCTTCCTCCTGGCTGAGCCGCCTCCCACTGCCAGCCCAAAGCCACAACACCTCGACTACCTTCCACAAGCCATCTCCCTACTAGCCAGGGCCTCAACCAGCAGGCCTGGGAGCTTCGATGTGGGCGCCATACCCACAGCCATCCAATGGCTCCCACATCCACCTTGGTCAGCCAGCTCACTCCACAGCTGGGACTTTCCAGGTCTCCAGGGCAAAGTTCTTCAAAAGCCCCTGGCAGCTCCAGCTCACAGCTGCTGGGCCTGTCCCTGGGTTGTGTGCGGGCCGAGCAGTGCACAGCAGTGACCCTCTATAGGTCACAGCGTGACCCGGGCTGAGCAAGGCTAACTGGCTGCTCTGTTATCCTCAGCCACAGGAAGTGTGATGTGGAAAGGACACACATGAGGTTGTCCTGCTGCCACTAGCAGTCAGGTAACTAGATGCTGAGGGTCACACTAGGAAGAGTAAGGACCAGACACAAGCATTTTGGGCACCAAACAGGTTCATCAAGATGGATAAAGACACCTTCTAGGCAGGAGTCTCATGACTAGTACAGAAAGAGCTATGACAATAGCCCAGTGATCTCAAGAATGGGAACCCAGAGGCTGCAGGAGCCGAGGGGACACCAGTGGGAAGCCAGAGACCCTGCGACCCTTTCCCTGCAGGCCCTTCCTGTAAAATCTCTTCCCTTTCATACTGTATCCACGGCTGAAGCCAGGAACTGTATCCCAAGCTGTCAGAGATGAGGAGCCTGACCAGACAGACCCCCAGCTCCCTGTAATTTCATCCTGACCCGTCCTCTCGGGCTAACTGATAACAACTGTCCTCCAAGCGGCAGATGGCCTACATCAGCTAGTGACAGGTCTCATGTAGAGAAATGAAGCAAGGAGGGAGAAGATCGCAGATCCAAAAAGCCATGAGCTGCCGCCCTCCAGCCCACTGCCACCCTTTCCCAATTTGGAGGCCCTGACTATATACCACACATGACTATATATCTACCCAACCTACCAGTGTGCATTTGACATTCCAACCCAGGCCCCAAGGGTCATGTGACCCAGCCATGGCCAATCAGATGGGGGGGGGGGTGACTGGCTGAGGGATGAGCAGGTAACTCCACCTGAGAACCCAGACATCCCTGAGCACCCTGGGCAGGTGTGGCTTTGCTCTTGACTCTGTTACATGGCTCTTATGAACATAAGAGTGTGTGGAGGCCAACATGGCAGCTGTCCTGTGCCTGAGGCAAGCTGCTGCCTTGGAAGGGGCCAGGGTAAACAGGTCTACACCACATCTCTTGCCTGGCTTCAGAGCCCGTAGTACCACCGATACAACCCCACCTTAACACTGACTGTCCTGTGTCACATGGTCCACTGCTCAAAACCACTACTTGATGTGGGAATACACATGAAGGCTGGGAGGTGGAAAGAACCACAATGTCTACCCTCTTGGACTATGGAAATGTAGGGGAGGCAGAGAGGGATGCCTCTCCAGGCCGTCTCTAGGGGACCTCACACCTCAGCCCGGCCTGGCTGGCTTCCACCCAGGATTCACAGGGCATCCCTGAGAACACAGGCACAGCATCATCCAAGGGCGCCCCACCAACTCCTTTCCAGTGTCCCAATGTGCAAGATGGCCCCAAAGGCAGAGACTATGATCCCACCCCCATGAGTGGGATCTACCCTCAGCCTTGTTTGGAGACAGCTTGAAAAACAAACACAAATTAGAAAAGCAATTTGGCAGGTCCTCAACACTTGAATAGAGAATTACTGAGGATCTGCAATCCCACTCTTAGGCGCCCAAAGAACTCAAACAGTCAGACAGATGTGTATGTAGCAACCCCATTCCCAATGGTCACAAGGCAGAAACACCCACCAGCATGGCCTGCCCATTCAATGAGAGTGTTACTTAGATTAAAAAAAAAAAAAAAAAAAAAAGCCAGAAAACTGATATAGACCACACTAAATGACTCCACGGATGTCACACTGAGTTAAAGGAGCCAGACACTTAAGACTATAAAGTGTGGGACCAACTCACAGATGTCCACAAGTGGCACAGCAAAAGGTCAGAAAGGAGAAGGGTGGATACCCAGGTCCCAGAGGGAGGCATAAGGAACAGGTTTTGAAACAGCCATGAGAACAAGGAGACAAAGAGTGCGCCAGGCAGAGAGCATCGCCACAGCAGGAGCCCGGAGGTTAGACTAGATGTATGTCTGAGAACGCCACTGAATTAGATGGGAAGAGGTCACTCAAGGCCCCACAGGCTATGGTAGACTAGAATAGATTGTTCCGGGAGCAGTGGGGAGCCCCAGAAGGTGGTTGAGCGACAGTACAGCGTCAGTGTTCTGCCTTGGGTGGCACAGCCGGTAAGCCACTAAAAACGTCCAAGCTAGAGACAGACTGTAGGATGGGTGACAGCAACTGGGAAGGGAAGCAAGCAGATGGCAGAGCATCGGGTAGGAGGCAGACAGAAGCCTTACAAGCTTACAACAGAGAGGGACATCGTCACACACCTCACAGTGCAGTGGCTGCAGCCCGGGGACAGCAGGGTTCTTGCTGCAGAGCCTGCCAGGAGAAACCTGTCTAGGCAGTGCCAAGTGAAGATCCTGGAAGGCAGCACGCTCCCAGTAAGACAATCTCAACAAGGCAGCCTCTGTGGAAAACTGTCACCCTACATTGCAGGGTGACCTGAGGTGGGCGCTACTACAGTCACAGCCTCTGGCAGGGGTATTCTCCAAGGCCATTCCTGTGCATCACGCATATCCCTTGCCCACTTCCTTCTCCTCAGAGCACCGACATAACCGGTGTTCAGCAAAGGACTGTGCCCAGCAGAGGTGGGCCAGCCCCAGCGATGTAAGGGCCCACCTGTATCCCTGTCCAACAGCAGAACCTCCTTCTGGGACTGCAAGCAAGTATGTGGCACTGGGAGACATGGTCACCAGCCTGGCTAAGACACAGGAGGTGAACAGCATAGAGAGGCTGGGGCAACAGCCATGGGACATGCTGTGTGTGGCACTAGCTACAGCTTACTGGAAAACACAGCACCCTCTGACACCAAACTTGCAACAGGAAGCCAGGAGATGGCGGGGGGCTCACCAGAATTAGAATGTGTAGGGCAGCCAGAGGCAAGAGCTCATATCCACCCTGGAGCCCGGGCTGCCTGTGAAGGCTTCAGAACCCAGACTGCCGTGTCCTCCTGCTCAGGGGACCCTAGGAGGACATGGTATAGACCAGTTTCCACAGACACCAAGAGCTTTGTGGGCAGAAACTACACTGGCCACCCACTCCACCTGACAGATACGCCTCCCTGCTCCTGTGTTTCTGGGGGAGCCAGAGGCTGCAAGACACACCATATTAGCACATGAGAAGTCTCCCTTCCTAGAATGCCTTCTCTGGGTTTGAGGCTCCTGACCAAACCTAGGCACTAGTTGCAATTTTAAAGGCTCCAACTCTGTGTCCAACATCACCTCACCACACAGGACTCCTCCTCCCAACCCAGCCCCAACCCCAGCAGGAATCCAGCACATGGTCAAAGCAATGGCGACTGAAGGCCAAGACACAGTCTCTCAGTCACTGAGTAGAAATGATGCCAACGGGAGCCACCCAATCCTAGAGAGCTCCCATTTCAACAGAGCCACAGAAGCTCCTATCCCTAATGACTGGAGCAAGGCCAGAGACCAACTCCACCCATTACACCGTTGTGCGACCTTGCGATGGGTATAGACTCCTCTATGCTTTGGGCAGGGGGCTTCAGGGTAAGCTGTGTGTGAACAGGGGCAGGCCAGTCTTTACCTCTAGAAAGGCACTGTCCCTGGGGAAAGGCTCCAACCCCCCTCCCCAGCTTCCATGTGGCCTGTGAAGGCCCCCCCCCCCTTACCCTGCAGCACTGAGTCTCCATCATGGGCCCTGTTCATGGTGTATGATGCAGATGAAGGTATGAGCCTGTCACCAAACACATCTGAACCATTCAACAGGTGGGAAAACAGCATAGAGAGGCTCTCCTCTGCTCAGGGTCATACCACAGCCACAGGCCTTGGCTACCTAGGCAACTGAAGAACTCCAAAGTGTGGGCCACAAGTTCTGGTCCCAGATTAGCCACATGGGTGTCCCTGGGCTGCAGAGAGCCACAGGCTCCTGCCAAGGCAGACAGAAACACTTCTTCCTCGTGGTTTTCCTTGTACTCAATTTTTATTGTTAACATGTGCACGCGTGTGACATGCGCACACACACACACATAGAATCTAGAGGTCAAGTCTGAGTGTCACCTTTCAGGGTCCAACCTGTCTTTTGAGACAGGATCTCTCATTGGGCCCTGGAGGTCCCTGAGGAACTATGCTGATCAGCCTGTCACTACCCCATAGAGCTGGATTACATTGCCTGGCTTTTCTCCATAGGTTCTAGGGCTGGTTCTGTGCTTGTGTGGCAAGCACTCTACTGACTGAAGCAGCTCCCCAGACACTCCTTTTAAAATGGGGAAGAGAGTGGCTAAACCACAGCTAGTGATCCCTGGCCATGCAGTTCTCTGGTCCCCAGAGCAGGCTCTGCCCAATCCTCCCCAGCATCTTACCCTCATGCCCAGTCACTCTGCATAGCCTCGGGTTTCCGATCTCCATGACCACTCTGCCCACAGAGAGGAAGAATCTGGGAATAGACTGGGGTATAGATTGGAGGGCAGGGGTTGATGACAAGGGGCAGTGACATGACCCTAGCTGGGTGACCCTGAAGCACTCTGGTATAGTGGACTGGCAGGGAAGCAGATCACCAGCCAAAGCCACTAGGGAAGGACACAGGCCCATCTCTCAGCAAGGACAGCTGGAGATCCAGGTCCTAACAGGTTGGGCAGCCAGGCCTGGGTCCTTCATCCCCCTTCTGCACAAGAGAGATTCAAAAGCCCTGGGGACGGGGGGGGGGGGGGGGGGGGGGAGAGTTGCCCCTGGGGGGGA